CATCAACGCATCATCGACCTCCTCGCAAAATATATTCTCCTGATAATATAAAATAATAAGAAACGAATTTTCGAAAATTTTCGCGTTTGCGTTATTAGGAGAACATGATTTGTAAAGAGGTCATCAATGCATCATCGACCTCCTCGCAAAATATATTCTCTTGATAATATAAATTATAAGAAACGAATTTTCGAAAATTTTCACGTTTGCGTTATTAGGAGAACATGATTTCTAAAGAAGTCATCAACGCATCATCGACCTCCTCGCAAAATATATTCTCCTGATCATATAAATTATAAGAAACGAATTTTCGAAAATTTTTACGTTTGCGTTATTAGGAGAACATGATTTCTAAAGAAGTCATCAACGCATCATCGACCTCCTCGCAAAATATATTCTCCTGATCATATAAATTATAAGAAACGAATTTTCGAAAATTTTTACGTTTGCGTTATTAGGAGAACATGATTTGTAAAGAGGTCATCAACGCATCATCGACCTCCTCGCACAATATATTCTCCTGATCATATAAATTATAAGAAACGAATTTTCGAAAATTTTTACGTTTGCGTTATTAGGAGAACATGATTTGTAAAGAGGTCATCAACGCATCATCGACCTCCTCGCACAATATATTCTCCTGATCATATAAATTATAAGAAACGAATTTTCGAAAATTTTCACGTTTGCGTTATTAGGAGAACATGATTTGTAAAGAAGTCATCAACGCATCATCGACCTCCTCGCACAATATATTCTCCTGATAATATAAATTATAAGAAACGAATTTTCGAAAATTTTCACGCTTGCGTTATTAGGAGAACATGATTTGTAAAGAGGTCATCAACGCATCATCGACCTCCTCGCAAAATATATTCTCCTGATAATATAAAATAATAAGAAACGAATTTTCGAAAATTTTCGCGTTTGCGTTATTAGGAGAACATGATTTGTAAAGAGGTCATCAACGCATCATCGACCTCCTCGCAAAATATATTCTCCTGATAATATAAAATAATAAGAAACGAATTTTCGGAAATTTTCGCGCTTGCGTTATTAGGAGAACATGATCTGTAAAGAGGTCATCAACGCATCATCGACCTCCGCGCAAAATATATTCTCCTGATCATATAAATTATAAGAAACGAATTTTCGAAAATTTTCGCGTTTGCGTTATTAGGAGAACATGATTTGTAAAGAGGTCATCAACGCATCATCGACCTCCTCGCACAATATATTCTTTTGATAATATAAATTATAAGAAACGAATTTTCGAAAATTTTCGCGCTTGCGTTATTAGGAGAACATGATTTGTAAAGAGGTCATCAACGCATCATCGACCTCCTCGCAAAATATATTCTCCTGATAATATAAAATAATAAGAAACGAATTTTCGAAAATTTTCACGCTTGCGTTATTAGGAGAACATGATTTGTAAAGAGGTCATCAACGCATCATCGACCTCCTCGAGGTGGGGCCCTTAATTGGGCCGGGCTGCCCTGCCTTCAGAAATTATGGTTTCCGTTTCCTGGAGGCAGGGCGATAGCAGCACGTGAGTCTGCTCGACGGGGTTTTTAGTTGGTATACCCGGCATTGCACACCTGGGAGAGGGGCTAGCTCTCTCCTAAGGGCCGGGGAGTCCAACACTACCCTCCCTTGGTGCGCCGTACACACTTCGGGGGGGTGTGCGTAATGCATTTTCCCCGTCGTTAAACAAAAAAAAAAAAAAAATCATCGACCTCCTCGCAAAATATATTCTCCTGATAATATAAAATAATAAGAAACGAATTTTCGAAAATTTTCACGCTTGCGTTATTAGGAGAACATGATTTGTGAAGAGGTCATCAACGCATCATCGACCTCCTCGCAAAATATATTCTCCTGATAATATAAATTATAAGAAACGAATTGGTTTGTGGGCTCTTAATGCTCTTTACTTAATTATCATGTTGTTAAATATTTTTCTATATTCGAGTGTCACCGTGTGAATGATGGCAAAGCTATGACATATGTATAGCCGCTTGCTATACGTCGTCAAGGCCAAACATATGATATTAATTGATAATTCTCTGCCGAAATATTTTGCATACTATATATACACGCGACATTTTAAATTATAGAAGTATATTTTATTTTAAATTAATTAATTATGAACGATTGATGTATCACGGAACAATCGCGATATATCGCAAACCACCATCATGTTTCGGAGAGCGACCCGTCCACCGATTCGTCGCGCTCGTAGTATCGGATTACAGTGGGACGACTCTCGTCGCCGCGCGCTTCTAATACACTTAAGTGGGAGTCCAAGAAGCAGATTTGGAATATTCACTGTAAGTCAGCCGCTCCTCGGGCGATCGGGACAAGATTTAAAAGGTAGTACCGCGAAATGGTGTAGAATTTTATGCAAAAAGAACGAAATCGCTATCGCGTCCGGAAGTCGAGATATAAATAGGCCGTTTTCGTCTGTGCGCGGACGGTCGAAATCGTGCACGACGCCGCGCATGTTGCCTGCCTCTCTCGCGCGATATTCACTGTAACGCGGCGAGTAAAATGGCAGGCCGAACGGAATCGTTCGATTTATTGATTAAATACTTATATATACCGAACGAAAAGATGAATCAGAATGCAATCGTTCGATTAATTAATTAAATATTTATATATATCGAATAAAAAGGCGAGTCGGAATGCAATCTGTCGAATAGTGAATTTAATATTCATATATATCAAACGAAAAGATGAATCGGAATGCATTTGTTCGATTAATTCGTTATATATATATATATATATATATATATATATATATATGTATATATATATATATATATATATATAAATATTTATATTTATATATATAAATATTTAATTAATTAATCGAACGATTGCATTCCGATTCATCTTTTCGTTCGGTATATATAAGTATTTAATCAATTAATCGAACGATTACATTCCGATTCATCTTTTCGTTTGGTATATATAAATATTTAATTCACTATTCGACTGATTGCGTTCCGACTCGCTTTTTGATCTTAGCTACAGAGATGTATTTTTAAATATTTATTGCGTTTTTACTAACATATTCCGAATTTTGTTAATCGAAATGATTAACTTTTGGCAGAGAATTTCGCCTTGTGACGGATATATGACTAACTTCATTGAATTATATTTAATATCTTTTTAATCAGTTAGTACTTATATAATATTATTTGACCAAATATTTCCTCTGTATCTAAACTTTTGCAAATTTTAAACAAATTCTGAATATTATTTCCATGTGTTTTTGTCATTTGAATCGACGTGGTTATACGTTTCCCGTAAGAACACATGTTAATTCGCACACATGCAAATTAGAATCTTTATAACTTTTAAACGTTTTAGTGAGTTGATTTAAAAATTGTACTGAAGATTCTAAACATATGTAAGGACATTTTGTACAATTTTCATTAAATTCTCAATATTTTGAAAATAGGTACAAAACATCCTTAATTTCTATTCAAAATCTACAAACATCTGTCTTCGTTTCCTAATTTTTAGAAACCTACAGGGAAGGAGATAGCAGAGATCGCTGCTCACGAAGTAGAGTATCCTAATATTTCTATCGATCAATCGGAATTTATTCTCATATGGTTATCCTGTATAAAACATTTCTCCGAAAGGATATCCTTTGCAAACTGAAAGACGTAAAGTCAAACGTACCCAGGATCACCCGGTCGCACTATGTTGTCAATGCAAAACTATCTCAGGATAAAAAGCACCACATTGGAAAAGAAATTACAGAGTAAGTGATATTAATTTAAAATATCAAATATATGGCATAATAACGTCACTTAAAATTTTTAACGTAAAATATATATACGTTATCTACATCGATAAAAAAATTTATGCCTTGATACGATTCTATATTTCGTACAGTTACATAATATGTAAAAATATTCTGATATAAGTGAAATTAATTTGTTTGAATTTGTTAGCATGCGCGAAAAAGTGTAACAATGTCGTGGAAGAGGATCCAACTATGTCCAAGGTATTTAAGGAGAAAGTGAATTCGTTTGTAGCGAGGGCGAATATCGAATTGGCAAACGAAAAAGAAGAGTTATTCTTTAAAAACAGATTGAAGGCCGTAATGCGATTTTATCAGTTCGTTCCGAAAGGCGCCACAATGAAAACCGCGGAACCTTACGATTTCTTCAACCTATGGCTTGCCTTCTGGAGAAGGGAACAACAGCGAATACGAAAAGAACGGATGGAAGAAGCTCGCAAGAAACTCAAAAATAAATCCGATGTCATGGGAGTAAAATTAAAATCTCACGACATCGGATTTGTTTTTGAGTTTCTTGCGAGTTTCTTCCATTAAATCTTCACGGGTTAAAGGCACGATTACAAAAATATCTTTAAAATCATAATTTATCAAAAGAAGATATTTTTAGATGGGATATAAATAATAATTTTATATATTGTAATATTCCAAAAAACCTCTTTAATTACTAGTTCATATTTATGAAAGACTATAATCCAAAAAATATTTTGCAATATTAAGTTTCATCAGTTTTCTTTTTTTTTTAATATTCTTTAATATTTCCTTTGTCTAATACACGGATTACACAGTTAATCCAGTTCTTCTTGGTTCAATTGCTGATCTGGATGCGGTGAGTCCATCAAGTACTGTGAAATATTGTTTCATATCCTGAATATGAAGAAATTAAATGTTCACTCAAAGCAATATCTGATGAAAAATGATAATAATATAATTTATTGGATAAAATGACTATGCGAGCGGTCTATTTTTTATATTGTTATTATATGCTTTTTTAAACTTGAAATATATTATTTACATCTCTAGATATCTTATGTATTATTGAAAAATTCCAAAGAGCTGTGGCATCGTGTAATAATGTGCAATAATTATTACATTAATTATTATATCATATGTTTTATTAAAAATCTGAATTTAAGGCCGATTAAATCAAAGAAGGAAGGATGTGAGAGAAATACACACAATATAGAGCTGTATGATAAACACTATTTTGATACTTTACACATTTTTTGACAGTGATTTCTCTCTTACACGTACCACCGACATTCCCAGTGTCTCGCCCCAGCACTCGACAAAAACGCATTTATATCACCGATTACAATGATCAGCATTACAATGGAGGAGCCTTTTTACGCATTTCAAAACCGTAATCCATGGTGTAAAAAGTGCATAAAATTCGTTTAGAGACGTAAGATTGTAACTTCGTACAAATTACAAGTCACAGGAGCACCGCAACGAGAGATATTTGATAAGCCTTATTAGCGAAGCATGCATAAAGCTGCCGTCTCTTCCACGAGATCCTCCCGAAATGTATCTGCTTGATATATTATACATATGCGTTTGCCAGTTAACACTAAAGGAATTGAGTTGGCACGTTATCCTCGTTTTGGGAAAACCCTATCCGTTCTCGCAAAATGTAACTAATTGTAAATAGTAATGCTTGATATAGGCATCGACATGTAATCAACGGCAAGATTCGTATCCTGACGACAGCATACGCGACTTGAATCAGAAAATACAAACTTGAAAAAAATATGCGCGCACACGTTAAAATATTATATATACATTTTTACACGATGTGTGTCCAACACTCGTTTAGGAAATGAAAAATTAAAGAGAAACGGGTCGAGAGTCTTCATTGAAATATGTCATGTGTGTGCGTGTACCTGTTATATTTTTCTTTGTCACTGCATTATTATTATTATTATTATAACGTTGATACAGCACTTCTCGGTATGTCGAAAAGAAACAAAAAATCGTATCGCATGAGAAGTTGTTAATAAGATTAATCGCATTTACGTAATATTGATAAGAGGCAGCGAGTCACATCTCGTTAATTATTAATCGCATCTAAAAGTATATATTTGTAAAAAAAAATGGAAATGTCTTTTTTCAGAGTTTTTTTTTCTACCCGTCACCTAACAGGCCACCTCACGCAACGGAATATATTTTACTTGGTTATCATTCGCACAATTTTCTCTCTTAATATTTCAACGCTGTTAGGTATGTTCCTTCGAACTCTTAAATCTCTCGCGTTAATCGATTATAAATCATTAATAATTATTGTGTAGAATTATATGATTAATTCCATAATTAATAACATAATTAATTATATAACTGAATTATAGTCCTATAATTACAACTACATAATAATTATTTTTCAATTATTATTAATCATTAATTAATCGATTCGCAAATGTGTAACAAAAAGCGATTCGCAAGTTAATCTTGAAGCGGATGCACAGATGATTCGACTTTTTTGTTTCATATATTCGCCATCGAAATGTATTATTTAAGTAATACTTTATAATGTAATATTATACAATTTCGATTATATGTGTAATAATATATTACAATGCTTGAAAGACAAGCATAAAAATTGACATATAAAAGATCTATTTAAAAGAAGAATTATAATAGTTAGAATAAAATTGCGCTTTTTAGATGCAACCGCTCGAAGATTAAACTTATGCATAATCATAAATTAGATTTGATTACTATTATAGTTTTTTTTTACAAAACCATGAAATATTCCGTTTCGCAAGAACATAAATACAAAATATTTCTCAATATATTAATCTTAAACAAAATTTTATAGCCATTTAAAATTTATGACTTATTTATGATTCATAAACTTAATGGTTCTCTCCACTGGTCATATATGTAACAAAAAAAAAAATAAAATTATATTTAATCTGAATAAAAAAAAATTATATTTATTTGAATTTGATAAAAATATAAGATTGACCGAACATTTACGATTCCATTTGCGAAACGGATAACAAAAATAAATGTCGAATCATAATCTAAAAACGCGCGCATACCCTTATTTTTATTTTCTTTTTTTTTAACAAATGCGTATTAGACGTTAATAACGTCATATAACTAATACAAATATATAAGTCAAGCGAAAATATTGAATAAATTAATGTCTTCAAGTGTGTACAATTTGCTCAATATCAGAAGTCAAAAATCTCATCGAGAAATAATCTCGATGGTACACGATATATAAAACACGCAAAGCTATGCGTGCGACAAATGAGCAAACTATGCTATTATATAAAAGTAGTTACAGGCAACTAATTATACTTCAAAAACACAATATAAGCGTAATTATAATACATATATATCGCCGATTTCTTTTTTTTTTATGTTAGAATCTTTTCAATATAGTATTGTCCTTATCGAGAAAAGTCAGCGACGATATTACTGATATCTCGCCTAAATATTTTCAGTTATAGAGCATTACCCTGCACTCTCGGTAATACCAAGTTTTAGGTATTTGTAACAATAATTTATGTCACTGTGTTATGGATTATTAAAAACTAGATATATGCTTCAAGCACTTTATAACGCGGGCACAAAATAAATACATTTCCCCAACTGTCTGTGATCCCCCTTACCCCCTAAGAGAGTATCAAATACTCATTGGTATATTGTATATAATTTTTAATGGCATTCAGCATACTTGATGAAACTCAACGAAATATAAAGATCATATCGTTATTTCTAGGTATCATCATTTTGCTTATGAAATTTTAATCAAGTCAAATTTGGCATTCGTATATTACACACGCACTATCCTCTCATCGTACACAACTATTCCCGTAACTATTCCCTGTAATACCATGCGGTCATCTTTATAAATTTGCGGGGACGTTTATATTTATATAATTTTCGCTCAGGCATACAATATACATATATAAGTATATATATATATATATATATATATATATATATATATATATATATAACATATACAACGCAGATTTTTCATAAGCTACGCGTATTCGTTAATAAGCTTATAATCGAAACGGCGCGCGCTGTTCGATCGGTGTGGGTTTTCCCTTTCGTGTACTCGGCGTTGTTCCCGACACGGATGTGTCGGAGGCTCCGGAGGGCTTCCTCGACAATTTCGAGGACGGCGGTAGCGGTGTGCTGGATCCACTGGACGGTGTGCGTACCCTGAAACAAACGATCACGATATACATAAGCCGGTGCACACACGCGCATCCACGTGCGTTTTATCTCTCAACACCGTTGAAGCCGCTCGAATATGCAAAAATCGGTATCGAGATGTATGTACCTTTTTTTTTTTTCAGAATCAAAAGAAGACAATTTGTGAATGAATATTACCTAGCTTGTTTAATGGCTGTTGGTATGTTAGTTGCCGAATTTGTACACACGGAGCTGCTCCTGACATTGTGAAAGAAAATGTTGTTAGTATTGACAAGTACAAAACGATCAGGATAACATACATACACACGCAAGCAATTCATGAAACTTGTAAGTGAAAGCGGTAACATCGAAATAATTATACTTGTTAAATTTTTCGTTGCATTCTCGACAGGATATCATTAGATCAAGCAAACTGTTTTTGTGAAATGACCGAAAAAACTAAGCGATATAATAATGCAAAGTGCACAACTGAATATTAATGGCAGATAGATATAATAATGGTTTAATAATAATGGTGTCAATTGTGAGAAATCCAGAAAACGAAAAACAATACATTCGTAAGGACGAAACGAGTGTAAGAAGAAACGAAAAACTGGTTACACATGTAAAAGCCCAAGGTTCAGCCATACCCAGTGGAATCGGTAGAAATCGTAGAATGGTTGCTTTGAGTCGACATATTGCTGGTGGTCGACTGAGGAGATTTTATATCCACTCCCACATACACGGGTATCCTAGAGCGGCTAAGGCATCAACGAGCAATCGAAATCAAACATCATTTTATTGCACGAAATATATATACAGAGTGAGTCACTAGAAATTATCTTTTTTCAAATATCTTCATAAATATCTGATTTTACTGCCTTCCAAAATATCTTCACAAATATATTTGCAATTAGCAGCTTTTCTTAAAAATTATATATTTTCTTTACATTAATTCTCCTATTATTTGATGCATAAAAGTATTGAAATAAAATAATTTGAAATTGAATATTTTAGAAGATATTTCATAATTTTACATAAAATTATCAAAGTATAAATAGTATAAATTAAAGTAGTAAATTAAAGTATAAAATATCTCATCAATATTTCAATTTTTGATCATTGTATCCTTTACTTAACTTTTTATGTCGAATATTGCAAAGAATCGATTTCATAAATAAATTAGTAATTCCATTAAAAAAAATATAATTTGCGAAACTTTTTGGCGCTTCCATTTAATAAAAGAAACTAAGACGACTATAGCCTTTCCAAATTATTTAACTTTTACTTTAAACATTTTTGTGTAAGATTAATATTTATGAAGATATATAAGAGGGTTTTTAGTGACACTCTATATATTGTATATAAGTGTACAACAAAAGAATCTCTTTCTACTTCACACGAAAATTAAACAAATAAAGAAACAGAAATGAAGAACCAAAACGAAAAGAAGATATGATGAAGAATTGAGAAGAACCAAAATGAAAAGAAGATGCGATCAAGGATTATTGAAATCAAACAAAAGAATGAGTTTAAATGTATCACCGTCACCACGTGTTTTGTATAGAAAGCGATACCCTACACCATAAAATACCTTGCAGCATTTCAAATATATTGCGCTTTGCATTTTGCTTATTACTGTAATTTTTATAAACAAGCGAAATAAAAAATAGAATGATAAAGGCAGAATGCAAAGCGCAAAGCGAAAGCCGCAAGAATTAACTTTCCCGAGCCAGTTTTATTCGAAATTGTCGATTCGTTAATTTGCTTTACCTGATAGGTGTTCCGACACCAGTCAGGGTTGGAATGCTTGAAGCTCTATGGATTGAGCCGAACCTAAAAAATGGTTGTTAACCAGATCCGTTAATGATTATTGAAATATTATAATCGAACGTTAGTAATAAATGGTTAACACGAGATGTAATAATGAGGTTCGATCAATCGATATGTAATGACATCGCATCACGAATTTGAGAACTTCGGTTCTTCATTTATTAATACTTATTAATATTTTATATATATTGACGGTTTTTTACGTGGTACGTATAATACTAAAGTTTAAGAAAAAAAAACAATAAAGAATAAAAATAAAAAGAAGGAAAATTCATTCAGTAAATAAATCCTTGATTAGGGAAAAATAACATATCGAACATTCCTCGAACCATCGCTATCAGTTTAATGTAGGATGAGATGATACTAGATGCTCGATTATCGTTAATGCAAACGTTATGATAATCGATCATGTATGTTTCTATTAAACACACTGATGCGAGTTAGTCCGTGATCTGTTTTAGACGTAATTCGATGAAAAATAAGTGTCTCGCGAGTTACAAACCTGGAAGGCACCCCGCTGGCGGGACTAATCAATCCTGTCGGGGTACGAGGTCGTGAACTCGAACCGTTCACCGGGGTCATAAGTTTTCTACCAGATATACTGTTGTGTCTACTGGATGTCGGTGTATTGCTGGAACCACCCACGACGGCCCTTCGGGGAATGCGACTCGGAGTCATCGAATCATCTACGACAACGTTAGATTAGCGTTTTGAAAATTAATTTAACTAGGGCGAAAAAAAGCCATAAGATAAAATAGAGTAACATGATGTAATACTAGTAATATTAATAAATCTTTTTAAATTTGCCCAACAAGATCTGTCTATCACAAGTGTATTTTATATTAATTTAAACAAATGTTTAGGGACATATTACATCATTTTATCCTATATAAAAAAAAATATAAAAGCTACCCATGAATTTATTCGTACCATCCAAAGACTGCGTTGATCCATATCGACTGGGTGGCTTGCTTCCTTGTCTCGATGCGGGTCGGCTACTCGGTCTGCTGGCAGGTCGGGAGGCAGGTCTTGAGGCTGGCCTGCTAGATGGACGGCTACCACCTGTGGACATCGCAACATGGTAAATTATTTTGATCGGTAATTGCTTCCAAATTGTAATTTAGATAGCTTACCGGGCGTCACGGTGGATCTATAAGGCGTGCTGGTTTTCCTAGTAGATATCTTGAAGGAACTTTCGTTGTCGCTAAGGCTGTCCGGCGTCCCGGCGCTCAAGGATGAACGCGAGGCTCGCGATTGACCCATAGGTACGCTGCGAGCACTGCGTTCTCTTACCTAAATCGTAGATGCAAAACTGATAAATTTGACGTGTAAACATAAGTAGGGAAAAGAGCAAGAAAAGCCATTGTGATTCGTGTTTCATCAACAGAATCATCAGATAAGTACTGTGTTACGCTCTCTGCTATAAATAAAATTATTAACACTGCAACGTATTCATTACAATGCAAATATATAATGATAAAATAATGCTTTTGACAGAAATTTGTTAAAGAGCTACTTAAGAAGGAAGAAACATATTTTCTGCTTACAATACAATAGCATTAATTTTCGTGAATTAATTATTTAATAGAAATGAAATCAAATAATATTTAATATAGTGAAGAGAAATATTTGTAATTGTATAAATTAATTCTCTTGATCTACGATAGTATAAGAAATAATACTTTCTTTAATATACATTTACTATAAAAAAGTCTACATAAAAAAAAGAACTATATACTATACATACATGTAAATAATATTAGGATTCAATTATTGTTTGAAAATATATAAAATAAAAATTCTATTGAAAATATATAAATAAATGCAACGAACAAGAAAGAATGCAAAATAAATTTAATTTGATAAAGAAATCTAAAGTTTATCAGGCAACACAAAATTGTAAACAGAAGCTAACTGGTATAAGTGTACAGATTTGCGGTCCCTTACGCTTGTCGAAGCGCTATTCATTGTTGAAAAAAATACAGAGATTGAATATATAATATGGGAATAAAATAAAATCTCTACCATTTTTACCAGGATCGAATAAAGCTATACTGTCATGCAAACTTACCAGAAGAAGTTGGGAGAGATACAGTAGCTTATGGTGATTCGAGGTATCTCCGATCAATGCCACTACGCACGCAGTAATACAGGACACGACATTCGTTATGCATATTCAATATTCAATAAATTAACTACATATCTCCGATGCGGGTTTATTTTTGAAATTTCTCTGGCTGCTTGTAACTTAAATTTCGCAACTTCATCAACAATAATTATCGAGCACGAGATTCTGAAAGATGCACACGAGGAATCGATCTTGAAAAAGTTGCGTATCGCGAATTTATTGTTTAAGACTTATATTGCATTCGCAGAAAATGAAAATCAACTAAGTCTCTTCATGCTCACAGGATAGATTGCAATCAATCATTCTCTACCGAGGGGCAAAGGGGCGGGAATTAGAGGCGTCCAAATAATTCTGACAATAAAATCAGATATATTCGACGATCAACTAAAAGAAAAGTCGATTCGATGCAAAGTGATGCAAGTAGTGAATGATGTGATAAGGTGTTACATTCCACAGAATTTGGCACAATATGTGCTGCGAATCTTTTTAATCAAAACGGCATCACATCGCGAAATACATTTATTAGACGCGCAAGAGATCCCCATGCGTTTCTTACAGAGAAATTGAGTGTCTACTCAAATCATAAAAAAATTCCTGATATTTTTATTCAAAATTCTAGATATTAAATCTTTTTCGCGTATAACTTTCTAAAATAAAATTTTTTATTATATGTATTTTCAATGTTTTTTACTCAAGAAAAATATAGAGTCTCTTAAATTTCAAGTGTTGCAAATGTACTGAAAGAAACTGTAATAATATTTATGCATAACGTTTGCATTTCTTTTTATCATAAAAATTACGATAAATACATAATATTACATATTTAATATTTTGTTAAGACACTAATATATAAATAGAAATATATAATTTATAATATATTTTAAATACATAATCCATTTAATTTGCCGATTATTTATAATATACATAAAATTATCGAAGAGAAAATTTTTAAAAATTTCCCAAAATTCTATTAGAATTTCCTGATTTCTCCAGAAGTACAAAAGAAACTTCTAAAAATTATAGGTTTTCTATGGAATAGACACCCTGGATAAGTGCAGAAATAAAATGGCATATGTATGATAATAAATTGGAAGCTAAAACCTTTATTTCCAAGTCCTCCCCCCTTTCTATTTTTTATTTTCCTTCATATTACCCTTGTTACCCTTAAGTGTGACACGATTCTTCCGACATGCATTGATCGCGTTATAAACTGCATCGCGATTAAAGAAGCATTTGTGATAGATTATAAATAATCGCTCATGTTATATTATTCATAATCTCTGGACAATTGCTCATTTATCGCAATTCTTATGATGTATAGAGAGAAAAATAGCGCAGAGAGAAGAAGCAGATACAATGACAATCTACGGAAACGCGCAATACATCGCGTCGATCGACTTGAGTTATGTCAAAGTGGCCGTACTGGAAACCCAAAAACTCAGTGTGTCAGTGTAACAACAACATCACACGAAACGGCAATAGAAAATTGAGAAAAAATTTCGTTATTTACCCAATGATAAGAGGGGGCGTGCATGTGGAGGGGATACGAGCACGGGAGGTCCTCCTTTTGCCTCAAATTCTCAAATATCGGCATCAGCTGGCTCATAAACTCCTCCGCTACACCACAAACGAAAATCTTTAGATTCCTCATGCAATCGCAGCGATCGCTCTTTAAAGCTCTCACTGAGAGTGAAACATATTCCTGAAATATATTGCTACCATTTCCACGCTAAAATGACATGTATAATTCGTTTTCTTTGGATTTGGACAGGGTGTCTACTCAAATTTTGTAGAAAGATTCCCTGAAAATTCTCTGGACTTCCAAGGTACCTTTGTTCAAAAGATAAAGAGAATACTTTGAAGATGTTTTTAGTGACTTTTTAAAGTAAGTTTATTTATTATATAATTTATTTTCTAATGTTTTCATTCAAACAAAGGAAAAATATCAACTTAAATTTCAAATGCTAGATTTCCAAATATATTAAAAAAAGACTGAATAAGATAAATAGTTTTTCATTTTTTTTTGTTAATAAAAATTACAATAAAGAATTTATATTGCATATTCAATATTTTGTTAAAACATTGATATATAGAGACAGCTACATATTTATAATATATTTGAAACACAGACTTCACAATTTGATTTATTAACAGACTGCTTATAAGAGGAAAATTATCAAAGACATATTTTCTTTTAAATTCCCTGAGAGAGTAATTTTAATAAATTAATTTAAAATAAAATTCCATTTTCCAGATACGAAATCCTTGAGAAAAAATCCTTGAGAATTCCAGGTTTCTTATGTCTTTCCAGGGAATAGACACTCTGTCGGATTACAAATCGTAGAAAATTTTTGTTTCACACAAATTAATACAATTACTTTCATAGTTTCTTCTTAAAATTTCGTAAACAAGGATCGGTCATTGGTACAGAAGTTGGGATATGTTCCTTTTGCTATTATCACAAAATAACGAGGAGGAAAGGATTTCCGGAGAAGATAGGCAAAACATTTACGAAATCGCGTCTCCTGAGGTTGGCCGAAAAAGTTCAAGACGCAGACGCGACGACGGATTTGTCTGGATCGTCTGGATCTTTAATCGATACAGTCGAACCGTTCTCGCAAGATCGACCGATATGATGAAAGTAAACAAGCGTTATTTATTCATTTCTTTCTAGCTGCCTCTACGTGTTCAAACAACGTAACTGATCTGAAAACTGCCATGCTCATGCGAAAATCAAACTGCTAAGGAAGTTGACGAATTGTACAAAGGTAATCGTACATACTTACGCAGACTGTCGACGATGGCGATGACGAGTGGACATTGACAGAGAGTTGTAAAAGTCGAACGTGCAACTTAATTTGTCTAATCTTCTAATCTACGACTAGAGACCGGTGTAAAGAGAATTCAAGAGTGTTCAACAGTTGATACAAATTAACGATAGAAAAATAAAAAAAAGAGTACTGTGCGTGCTTCGTCGCAAATCAAGCCGCACCTGACCCCTTTTCCTTACCTTGGTGATCGGTCCAGCATTGGCGGAGGACATCTGAGTACGCTGCAGCGTCGAGGTCGGACTCGGTTTGGACCGGAAGGCTGTCATGGTCTGGCTAACGCCATCCGCCAGTATGAATTGCTCCCGCAGCTCGATATTCGTTCTTCCCTTGGCTACAGTGTGTTGCGTGCACGCAGTTAGGGGAAAGGCGTTGGGGGATGCGGGGCATATGAGAGAAAAGGTGCCAGAAATAAAGAGAGAGAGAGAGAGAGATTTGAAATTTTCACCAAAAATAAAAGACAGAAAGATAGAGAGAGAGATGACATCGAGATGAGATAACGAACGCGAGAGAATATATCGTGTAGATCAACAACGAGATAAAAAAAAATTAAAAGAAAAAATGAGTAAATATCGGAACGACAACATCCGGAACGAGAGTTGTGAATTGTATGGAGCGGAAGGTGTGACGATATTTTTTTTACATATTCACAATATCAAAGGCATGCGCGTTGTCAATGAACAGCGGCAATAATGGACGGGAAAAGAATATATATTTGAGGCGAGAAAAAGAGTGAAAGGCGAAAAAATGTATTACGATATGCGTGCATGTTTCGAGTAGGTGTGAGTGGCGTAAATCCAGGTTTTTGTATGTATGTTTAAAGTGTCATGGAAAAAAAAAGAAAAGAACAGCGTATTTAGAATATATATGGTCAAAAAAAAAAAGAGTTCTTATATATATATAGTAAAAATATAACTTTGGATACAAGCTTATTAATATAGTATTACTCAAGGCTAATTTTACGTCATTGCAGAGAAAAGGTGATACAGAAGTCACTATCTAAATATTCTGTCACTGAGACTCAACTTTAGTAATTACAACATTAATAAAGTACTGATTTCAATGCTCAAGATATTTATATAAAATGTGCGATTTTCACGTGCGATAGGATTATTCTTTTATAATATTTTATGTATATTTTATTATATATTTTTTCTGGAAACAAAATTGTTTATTATATATTTATTTTTTTCCTTTAAATCTTTCTAATGAAAAATGTAACATAAAAATATAATGAGTCGCGCTTATTGTCGTACATTTCATAATGCATACCTGAGCAATTAATTTAAGTATTGCACTCGTAATCATGCCAAAAGAAACCAATGTATCTCGGTGGATAAAATGAATGATAAATTAAATCAAATAAAAATAAAAAATAGACTAAGAATTTTTAAGTATATATTTACATGTATAAAATTTTCTTCTTTTTCGATATTAATTTGAAAAAAATAATACTAAAAAACACTAAACATGCATTGGTTGTCCCGCAGCAAGGACATGAAGAATTTTTACAGAGGAGGCTACGAATGATTTTTACAAATGCATAAATATATGAAACAATCACACATTAAAGATTACAAGATTGTGCAAAGATAGAGCGTTCGCACGATAAATAAATCGGATAAATGTATTAGATGTATAAATAAGTTTTCCATTATTTCTCATGATGTATTCAATGTTTATTAATAAATTCTACATCAAAGTAATTCCCATCATTTTTCAGTACTTCTTTCAAGCAAATTGTAAATTACTTGAAAGATGGGCAGAAGTCTTGATAAAAAATGATGAGGATTATCTTCATGATTGAACTGTACATGTATAATTTATTAATAAACATTGAATTTCATAAAAAAATAGTGAAGAACTTATATACCTATATAATAATTAATGCAACACCAGCCACCCAAATCAAGAAATTGCGAAAGTATAGAACGCGGAGAGGAAAGAAAAACGAAACTATTGACATCACTAAACATAGACTTCTCGCAATACCGACTTCATCGATATTTCATCAAAATGATGAAAGGACATCACAGAACTAGAGCTTACATATTTCATTTCTGTATCAAATCTGTATTATATATTTACCTTAACCAGAAAAGTAGCCAATATTCAATCACATGATACAACGCACGCATATAAACATCCAACAAAAAAAGATGACACTTGGGAAAATTAGTCCGGATAAGCGAAGAACATCATGCGCCATACGTAGGGATGTGACCTTCATGGCCTATACTAATTGTAAGTATTGTACAATAAAATAATCAGAGCATCTCTCCACAATTGGAGTTTCGAATGACACTTTTTCACAATCGAACAAGCGAATTTCTCGACGTATAGACCACGAAGGAGTTATATGTGCACGTAAAACAATTCTCACCGAGCGGACACCAACCCTCATGTTGTTCCGGTTTGTTAGGATCCGGTATTGGCATTAGAAAAACTTAACGAGTTAATCACGATTCTCGAGAGAAACAGAGAGTCAATTAGAAAGCGGCGAGATGTAAAACAGCCATGCAAATCATTCGTCGCGGTTCCAAGATTTTTTGAAAAAATTCGCGAAAAAACGCATTCGAGAAACAAATTCGTGAAACAAGAGACGCGTAAAAGAAAACAAATATTTGTCGTAGAGTTGAACGTATACGGGATGTAAGAGGGAGCGGAATGATGGATAGTATAAGGGATGATAGTTGTTAGCGTTAGTATACAAATCAATATCAATATCAACAAGATGTTAGATTACATAATATATATATGCCTACTGTAATATTACCTTGTCTACCTACTCTCAATATCCATGAAACAATATCTACTATACCAGAAGAAGTTCTCTGACGAAATTCTCTGAATTAGTGATTATATCTTGATATATATCAGAATTGAGACGAATATTAATTGTGACGGAGTAAAACAGAGAGATTAAAAAAAAAGTACGATAGGAAGATAGAGCAAACGGACATTTTCTTTAATGATACACGATCAAATTAATCGTCGTCATGCAATTACTAGCGCGAATATAAAGTACAATGTGAGAAAAATTATGTTGATGGTACAAACATGGTATAAACAATTCGAATTAATATCCTTATTTAGCACTCAAAAGCTAATAAATTAAATCAATAAAATGTGATTAAAAGATGATTACTAGATAAGCAAAAGCAATAAACAGCGAATGTGTACACTACCCAAAATTGTCCGTTAGATATTGTTAGATATTAAATATTAGATTTACATCGAGTTGCGATTAATGTCTGTGATTAATGGTAATGTTATAACACCTCAGGAGTCGAAATCGTACATATATAATATCTTTTTAGTATTAGGATAACAGCATACGTATAGTTATATCGAATCAATGTTCAACTGCTTTCGTTAATGACAATGATATTCTCACACAAATGGCATTGCATTCTTGTATTTAATGCGGCGCAGCAAATTAAAATCGATTAATATAAAGTAAAAAAAAAAATGGAAACAAAAATACTAACGCATGATTTCATTAATGATGTTATTAACAATAACAAATATATTTAAGAGTATGTCACTTTCGATAATTAGAAAATTAAACAGGAACGTAAGTTTAATTGCCTCTTAGGAAAGGAGAGAGAAAGGGAGATAGTGTACTGACATTTCTTTCGAAAGCTATCTCAGTTGCTTTTGTAAAGAGCAATTCATCTTGCAAATATATTTCGCAACTGAACTATTCGAACAATTACTAATTCCATTCGATCAACCACTTTCTCTTGATATCAAAGGAATAATTGTGAATAGAAAAGAAATACACGATTTATCTCGTCCTAATCTCGGATAGCCTATTTCGCAGATTAAAGATTCGCGATGAGTACTTACCGCGGCAGGGATCGTTCTTCAAAAGGAATTCATCTAATGCTACCCAGCCTCCACCAACACGTACCATGACAGTCGAACGTAGAATTCGAACCAATCGTAGCTTCTGGCTGTCACCAAACTACAAGAATCCCATGTGATTAAAATATACTATTATCAATATTAATTAATTGATCGTTATTAAAGCTATTCACCGCAAACTTTATACTATAATTAGATTATGGCTATAGCGTATACGTACCCTGTATTTTCCTTCGCCAACTTGGAAAACGCGGAACTTCTGGCGACACGTGCAGAGCATAACTAGTCGTTTAACTTCGTCGTGTATCTTATCAGTATCGTTGTAGGTTCGTCGTTCCTCCCAATCAGGTCGCAGAGCGGCGATGAACTCTTTCCAATCTATCAAGCCTTCGCCATGACGATCGAAGAGATCAGCAACAGCACCCATCTCCAGACGAGAAGTCTCGAATTCTACAAATTGAAGAATTAAGATGTTAAAAAATATTCACAATAGATGTTTCTATTCGGCGAAAAAAATGACAAATGTACTCGTGTTCATGATTCCTTGAATAAAGTCCTCTCTCGGAATAAGTCCATCGTTGTTTTTGTCCATCTTCCTGAATAAATCGGTCAGTCTGGATTTCTTGTGATTCATGAATTTCAGGAACTGCAATTAAATAACACAAATATATAGTTTTCTACAGAAATTGTCTCCTCAAAAGAAAGATTCTAGACAAATTTGCACTGCAAGAGCCTTACTCGTTTGCGCCAATCTTCCCAGCTAAAGTTAGCAACGCGATCTAGCTCCTGAATATAGTTATACTTGTCCTGCAGACGACGTTGTCGTTCCCACGCCAGCATCCAAACGTGACGCCACTTATCCCAGAGCAGTTTAACTCGCGGACTACGGAATTCCGGTTCTGCTCCTTTGCTGCTCATAAGGAAAGTCAATATACATCATGAAAAATATATACAAACGTATGTCAAAGATAAAAATTGATGAATGTTATCTTTTCTAGCCACTGATACCATTTCACAGCAGAATTTAAAGAGACGAGATAATGTGTCAAATATTCGCGAGTAAAGAAAAATTAAATAAAAAATGTTTAAAAGTACAGAATATTTATTCAAATTTTATAAAAAAAATTTTTTTATCTCCCAGATATTTTTATTTAAAATTTCAGACAAATATTTTAAAGATTTTCTGGGGCAATTTTCCAAAATAAATTTTGTATTTTATCCGTTTTTGAACGCATTTTATTTATAAAAAGAAAAACACAAAGCTATTTAAGTTTGAAGTGCTAGATTTACAAATAAGTAAAAAAATTAAACAGCCTTTATAAGATAAACACTATCACTTGCGTAACATTTTCATTATTATTTTATCACTAAAAATTTCAATAAAGGATATGTACTGCACATTCAATATTTTGTTAAGACATTAAATATATATAAACAAAAATATATATCTATAATATATTTTAAACACATAATTTATTTGGGTTGCCAACTACTTATAATATAAAAATAAAATTATCAAAGAAAGATTTTTTTTTAATTTCTAATAAAATTTCATGAGAAGCCCCTGATTTTTTCACCTAAAAGAATAAAGATATAAGTCCCTGATTTTTTCAGCTAAAAGAATTCAGATAAAAGAATCTCTGAGAATTCCCAATTTTTCACGTTTTCCAAGCAATGGTACCATGATATAAATGTCGCAGGAGAAATCCAAAACTTCACACTTTCAAAACATGATTTTGCGAACGAAACGAGTAATAAAAATTCATCAAACCCAGCCACATTTCATCCCGCAAGAAAACAAAAATCCCATTACCGGATCATTAGCGAGTCATATGACATGTCGAATTGTTCACATCAAAGCGCACTTAATGCCTGTATGATTCCAGATGAATATAGGAGAGCGCAGAATGAACTGAAATAAAATTAGGCGTAAAACGAACCTTCCTTTGGGCGGGAAGCGTGGACCGATGTGTGGCAATGAAAGATCTGGTGTTCTGTCACGACCTGGGCTGCCTCGGCTAAACAGGAACATGCGTCACATCACTCAAATACTTTCTACTAAATAAGGCATCTATAGAAACGTTCCTTGATATCTCAATAGTCTAGTTTATAGATTGTTTTTCATGTGAGTTTTACTGGATTTTATGTGAAATATAGTAAGAACTTTTTTCAAATAACATATATTTTTTCACGCGAACAAACTATTTGGAACTATATTTGATAAACGTTTCAAAAATCAACATCTGAAAAACTTCGTTTTATGAAAAAAATTGTAAATGTCAATTGAAAAATAAATTGTCAATTGTAAATGTCTTAAGCTATGTGTATGCATTATAATGTTATAATATACATATAACACAAAATATGTGAGTAATAAAATACGACATATTTTAACGTAACGCAAACACTGCAAACGTTATGTACATAGTGAACAGTTACGAGTGAAAAGCAAGTGAATTAATACATTTGATGATTTGCTAAACTAAGGATTTTTGCTCTTGTGAAATTATTGTGCGAATAAGAATTATTGTGGTGGTGTTGTGTATCGAATAACAAGAAATTACACAAAAAGAAACAATCATTAAAAATATGCTATACTTACGAAAAAGCTATACGATTAAGTTATGTATGAAAGATCTATGTTATGATGAACAACGCACCTTTGTTTACGTGGTTGAGGTTGCTCATGCTCGCTATCCTGATAGAGATCCTTACTGAAATTCCATTGCAAAAGCAACACATCATGCGACAGTTAAAGACACAAAACACAGAAAAAAATTCAATACATAAAAGACAACATAAAAGATGCTAAACTTGCAAGCTGCTAGCAAAGTGAGAGATTCTAGTGACTCTTTCAAACACAGTGGTCTGATATTTCCTCTAAGACTGCAATATGCATAATAAGACATGTGAAACAAACTAAAATAATTCATTATACGAAGACACAAAAAAATAGCACAAATATAACTAAAGAGTGCAAATGAAATTTAACGATTTGAACACGGCATAGCAGTACAATGCTTTACATGGTATTATCAGCATCCATGACACATCTGCGTATACTTCATAACAAATGAAAACTTCCATTATATGCAATATACACATAAATTTGTATATCAATAAATACGTACGTGGGTGCAGGCGATCTAACTTTCGATATTTTCCTCGCATCCTTAATCGGCTTAATTTGTCGGGCCTTGCACACGCGATCAACCTCGTTTTGCCTTCGACTGGTATTCTCCATAAATTCTCTGTGATCTGCGATAAGCATTTCAAGTGTAGCTCTGTCGTCGGGCAACGGTTCCGCCTCCAAGGCATTCAAAGTGTTCTCCAAACCTTCGAGCCAGGCCAATAGTTCCTCAAGAAGATTATCAAGATCCTGAAAAATGCACATACAACAATGTCAATATTTCTTTACACGACATAAAATATTGCATAAAATAAAGAATAGTACGAACTTGCAGTCCTTGCATGTGGTTCTCCAGTCTTTGATTCCTTTGGTAGGCCCAGGTCGCCACTTCTTCCCACCTAGATTGAATAATCGTGATCCAATGTTTGATCACAGCGGCACCATCAGGATGCGCCTTTCCAAGAATAACATGCGCCAGCTCTAATGTGTGATCCTTTTCAATTTCTTTAGATTGTAACTCGCGGAGGAATCTCTGGTGTTCCATTAGCTGGTTTCTACTCTCTTGCTCATCCTCTGGTAGCGGTCCGGCGAATCGCAACTTCATCTCCGCATCGCTCAACCATTCCAACAACACGTGCACAGCTTTGTGAAGTCGTTCAGCCTCCCTGAGGGCTTCTTCTAGCTGCAAAGACTTCTTGGACGAGAGACTGGTCACTCTATCCCAGAGGCTGTTTAATTCGGACAACTGCGAGCGGATCATCGATGCGTCCTCAATCGAAGCCTTAGATTCTAATTCGCGACCAGTCTTGATAACAGATTCCATTTGCGATGCACGAGATTCTAGATCCCTCTCGAAGGTCTTATGCTGCTCCATTAGATTGGTCACTGTATCCAAATCGCCGTGCAATGGTCCGGTGCTGGCCAAGTATTTCTCGGTCTTGCTCAGCCATTCCAGCAATGCTTGAATCGCGTCCTTGAATTGTCCGGAGAATAGCAGGGCCTCTTCCAATTTCCTCTGTCGATCCACACATTTACCGCAGACTGTGGTCCATTTGTTCTTCAATTCGTTCAAGAGTTCTCTCAAAGCAGGCTCATCGGTCTTCGGTGCTTTGTCCTTTAATGTTTTGCCATTCTTCATAGTGGTATCATACGTGCTTTGCTTGGCACTCAGAGCCTTTTGTATCTCACGGTGTTTGTTGAGGCGAGATTTAATCTTATCCGGATCGTTGCCACCAAGTCCGTCAGCAGCGACTTCGTCCAATGTCTTCTCGGTTTCATCCAACCAATACATTAAGTTCGACCAACTATCGTGGAATTCTCTAGCTTCTTTGTAACCGTGATCCAAGGCCCTCGTTCTCTCGGCCGACTTGGAGACCACACGCTCCCATCTGTGTTGCACGCTGACGAGCAAGTTTCTTATAAGAATTACGTCCTGTTTTTGAGAAAAGTATTTGAGATGAGTGCCCTTTTTGTCGAGATTTAACATAGTCTCGCGATGAACGCCTACATCCTTCTGAAACGCTTTGTGTTCTTCAATTTGTTGAAGTATCGTTTCCATGACCCTTGAGACGGGTTTGAGATTCGTTAGAATCTTCTCGGCGTTGGTCAACCAATCGACGAAGGCTTGTAACGCGTCATGGAATTCAGTGGCTTCCTTCAGGGCGATTTCCAGTTTTATTTTTTTATCGCTGGCGCGCGCAAGCACGTTGTCCCATTTCTGTTTCAATGTTCGCAGATTGTGATTCAGTCCACCGGCGCTGGTCGTATCCGCTTTCTTTAGATACTCCTGTCCTTGTTGCAATACCGTCTCCACTTTCGGTCGGTTCTGCTCCAGCTCGTTGTACACTTCCATGAAACGCTCCAATTGTTCGGATGCCGTCTCGGGCAATCCGCCAACGGGCTTGGAAGCTACTATCATGCTATCAACATCGCCCAGCCAAGATAGCAAGTCCTGTATCTCGGCGGTAAAGGATTGCGCCTCTCGTAAGGCATCTTCCAATTCTCGTTGGCGATCAGCGGCGCGTTGCAATAAATCTCGCCAACGGCGATTCAGGGTGCCTAACTTATCAGCTGTAGTGGACGCTTCCGCGGTACCTTTACCATCTTCGATCAATTGACGTCCAGCATCGTTCAGGGTGTCAACGCTGGTCTGATGAGCCTGTATGTCATTCACTAGGACTTTCAGTTTAGCCAATTCGACCTCGATCACTTGCGGGTCACCCGCTACTGGTCTGAGATTATCCAAAGTCGAATCAGTTTTTTCGATCCATACCAACAACTCGTCCAAAGCGTGCTGGAATTGACCAAGTCGCAATAATGCATTCTCGAGTAATCGTTGCCTCTCCACCAAACCTCTCAATAATCCATCCCATCGCTTGTTCACGTCACCGAGCGGTTCCTTGATGGCTGCTGCTTGTTCAGAAGAGGTTCTTTCCGTTAATTCGGCCGCTTGCCTAAAAATAACAATAATATTAGAAAATGTGAGTTGCTATATATTTCTATTGTATACTGCAACATGTAGAATATATGCTCGAACCACACAACATTGAACACCACATTATCTACAGGGAGGACAGGTATAAAAATTTCAATGAGTTTAACTACCGAGGGAATTAATATCAACTCAACATTAATCAATGCCGCTTCCATATTATTTCTGTCAAAAATATAAATTGTATTATCATCTACGAATTTTCGTATGATTGATCGCTCGATCCACCTGTAACATGCGGCTGAGTAATTTATCTTACAATAACATAAATGGGGAAGGATCCGATTAAATGTATGACGTAATGTTGGAATAACATAAATGGGCAAGGATTAAATGTGTGACATGATGTTGTGTTAAGGGGGCTGCAAGATATTAAACTAAACGGAATAAACTAGACACGTTGAAAATAACATGAAGCCATGCTCTAACTACCAGCGACAACACAAAGAGAGATTGACTTGCCTTGTCAGACTCCTATGTTCGGGAACCGGCGCAGAGAAAAACAAAAGTTGGGATTAGAATTTACGTTTTTTTAAAGGTCTCATCGCAAATAACTCTCGGATGGGAGTTGCACAAAGGGGACAATGCTGTGCACTGAACTCTTTGTAACGTTTATTAACATTGAAATGTAATCTTTGCTCGAAAACTAATTATCACCTGTTCAACGCCTCGACCTTCACCATGTGCGGATCCACCTCAGCCTTGAAGTTGGCTAGCTGCTTAATTTGCTTCTTCACCTCGTCGATGTCACTACCGAGCGGGCCCATATGATCGAATCTGACCTCGGCCTCTTTCAAGAACTCTAATAGATTCTGCAACGTTTCATGGAACTCCATTGCCTTCTCCATGGCATCAATCAGATTCTCTTCACGTCTGGCATATAGAGCGGTGACATTGTCCCAAGCTTGATCTAAATCTTCGATGTGCTTTCGTACTTCAGGTTTATCCGGCTCGCCACATAAGCCCATCAATTCGTGTCCCGATGCTCTGACCTGCTCAACATCCGGCTTGGTCTGATCGATTTCTTGTCTAATTTCCTGCAACGCTACTTGCTGCTGTTCGATGGCGGCTGGCTGAGCTGCCGGTGGTGCCTGTCCAGCGAGTGCATCTTGCAGTTCTCTCAAAGTGGCCATAACTCCATTCAGCTCGGCCCAAAACTTTTCGGCGATGGCCAGAGTATCGTCCAAAGTGTGACCGCGATCGGTCGTAGCTTTCTGCACATCGGCCCATAATTTGTTGAGTTTGTCCAATTTACGTTTGATGTCCTTTACTGCTGGATCGGCCCTATTGCCAGCCTTGCTAATCACATCGTCCGCCGCTTTCTTAACGGCTGCATAAGCTTCGGAACGCTGAGCGAGATCATCTGCTAGAGCCGCATTTTCTTCCATCTGATCGCGCAAACGAGCTGGATGAGCGCTAACAGGTTCAGCGCCGTTCACTTGATCGGCGGTGGAAGACAGCGCGCGCAGCATACCCTCCAGTTTATCGGAAAACTGCGAGGATTCTTGCAGTGCCTGTTCTAACGCCTGTTGTCGGCCTCTTAGCTCGGCTCTCAATGCCGCATAGCGAGCATTGTCGTTTTCCAGAATGTCTTGTACCTTCATACCTTCTTCTTCATTGCACAATTTAATAAGAGCTTCGCCAGTCTTGTTAAGTTTCTCCACCAAAGGTTTATGCTCGTTGATGCTCTGCAAGAGAAGCTCGTTCTTGTCCTGCTGCGCCGCTATTAAATCAGGCCGCAAAGCGGGCATGGGTAGCATGGCGACTTGTTGTTCAGCCTCTTCGAGCCAACTGACTAGACCAGCGTGAGTATCGCGAAGATGCTCGGCTAACGGTAAAGCTTGTTCCAAAGCTCCCAATCTGTCTGTTGATAGACTCGATACAATCTCCATTGTTTCTCGTAAATCCTCCATCTTATCTCTGATTGTAGATGTATCTTCGTGTTGAGCATTCTCACGTATTACCTTCTTCGCCATCGATATGACATCTCGCACTCTGCCTTTTTGACTGGATATATCATCATTGAGTGCTTTGTGTTCTTTTAGTTGTACTCTAATAATCTCAGGTTCGCTACTAGGCGGCTCGGCCTCTCGGAGTTGGTTATCTACTTCTCTAAACCAATCAAGTAGATCATCAATGTCGCCAATTACCTCCAAGGACCGCTGCTTGCTCAACTGAATTCTCTCTGCTTTCCTCTGAATCTGCTCAGCAATTGCGTCGAATCGTCTGTTGTCTCTAGTTACAAGACCTTCAATAGTCGCGGCACCCTCTCCTGGTGACATTTGACATAATTGTGGACCCACCGCATTGATCTTGTCCAAAACAGGCCTGTACTCCGATATTTCCATCTCAAGTCGAATAATCTCCTCTTCGCGAGGTTCAGCCGACTGTAGAGCGGATTCCGCGCCCTGCATCCAATCCATCAATCGATTGTGATTGTCATGGAATTGTTGCACCAGCGGTAAGGACTCTTGAGCGTGTTTCAAAAGATCCGAGCCGCGTGTGACGAGATCGTTAAATCGTCGTTGCAAGGAGTCCAATTTATCCTTCAATTGAAGCGCCTCGTCGCTCGAGATATGTTTCATCAACTCTAGACCGGAATCCACGGTGCTGTCAACCTCTGTTTGTCGCGTCGAGACTTCTTCTGTGAGATCTGCGAGATCTTCCATTTGTTGCAAAAGTTTCTCCGTGTGTACAGCCAAAATGCGATATTTTGACAATCGGATCTCCATACTTTCCATCCACGCTTGTAGATCTTGGTACGTGAGAACCAGATGACGCAATCCTTGTCTCGAGCGTTGTAGCAAACTGCCGAGAGCCTCGGATCTCTCGACCAAAGCGGCATATCTATCTGCCGCATCTTGAAGTTTATCAGCCAATGTAGTAGCTTCGTCCTCGCCTACGAGAGACATTAATTGACTGGCTATCTCCGTAAGTTCGCTGAAATCAGGTGTCTTGGATATAATGTCTTCATGCAGGATATCGTGTTCGCTGATACGTTGCTGTATTTTCTCCTCGTCGGTAGGAACTAATTCCATATCCTTCACTTTCTTTTCCGTCTTGTCCAACCAAATGGCAAGCGGTACCAATTTATCTTGGAATTTTTTCGCTACCACCATAGCTTGCTCGAGAGCGTCCATTCTTTCCGCGGCGCTTTCCGTCAGATTATCGAATCTGCCTATAAGATTGTTCAATTGTTTTTCGATAGCTTTGCGCTCCTTTGAATCAGCATCGGCGGCCACCTCCCGTCCCATGTTGTAGAGAGAAGACATAGAATTTTGACGATCTAGCAACATCTTTCGTAAGAACTTCTGTTCTTGCAACTGCGCTTTCACAACTTTGTAATCTGAGGATGGTGGTTTCTGATTTGAAACCATCTCTTCCGTATCGGTTAACCATTTTTCTAGGCCATCCAAAGCTTCTTGGAATTTGCCCGATTGTAATAATCCAACATCCAATTTGCGGTCCCGCTCATTCAGCTAAAAAAATAATTATATAAATATTAATATTATATAATAATTATATAATAATTATATAAAATAATGCACAATAAAATTATAATGCAATAATGCAATAATAATATAATAATACAATAAAACAATATCTATCTCGATTAATTTTTGCAGAAATATTGATACAGAGAAATTTAAATACAGATTGAAATGATTACCCTGTCTTTCAGATCATTCCATCTTTCATTCATCTTATCAACATCCTTCTCGATATTGCTGGTATTGACATCTCGTCCTGCAGTTTGTATTAAACCTTGACCGAGCGCATTACATTCTTCAACAGCATGCGCTAATGGTTCAATCTTCTTGACTTTAAGAGCACGGAAGTCTTCTTGTTGAGCCTTAATCGAATCCACTTCAGATCCAACAGGTTTGAACTTTCTGACTTGTTCGTTCGCGTCACTAATACCTTCTATAACGTTTGCATGCAACTGATAGAATTCTTGTAATTTATTCAAAGTGGAAGTGAGCTCATCTTCTCTGGCACGCGCACGCTCATCCAGTTTGCCAATTTGTCGTTTAAATCCGTCAACTTGATCTCTAGTTGCTACAGCATCGGCAGCAAAACCGTGATCAACCAATCGTTCACCACGATTCTGCAGATCGCCGATTTCCTCGTACAGTTTATTAATTTTGCTGATGACTTTGGCAGTATCTTCCAATTGGCCTCGTACAATTTTAATTTCCCTACCAGGTGCCTTCATGGAATCTAAATCTTTTTCGAGAGCGGACAGATGTTGACTGATAGATTTAGCTTGATCATTAAATTGCGCAACCGCTGTCGCTGCGCTTTGCAGCTCGTTACATCTATCGTCCAGTTTTGCTTGTAAGTCATTGATACGATCGGTAACATTATCGATTTCATCTTGTAAATGTGTTGCATCGACGCCTTGTTCACCGGCTTTATTCACAAGATCATTAGCCTGTTGTCTAACGCATTGTAAAGGTTTCTTCAAGTTTGTTGTCTCTTCTCGTAAATTCTATAAAAATTATATAATTGGTATATATTTTTTATATTAATCGCGCATATCTTTTTTTTATTTTATAATAATATGGAAGAAAAAATTCTTAAATTACCTTTATTCTATCAAGAAGTTTCGGATCTTTAGCCGCTCCACCAAGAGCATCATGCGAAGCTAATTTATCTTCACAACGTTGTAAACTATGCTGCAAATCACGCAAGTTCTCATTAAAGTCCATTAAGTGTCGTGCAGTATCTTCCAACGATTGTGTCCTAGATAGCAAATCTGCAGAAAAAAAATTAAATTATAATATTAAAACATATCTTATAATAAATTATATAAATTATAATATAAATTAATATAAATTATATTAATTATAATATTAAATGAGCCATAATAAACTATGATATTAAATAAGATATTAAATAATTTAAACTAAGATATAAATAAGTATTTACCATTATTTAATTTATCCCATCTGGTTTTCATAGCACCAAGCTCATTCTTCACATTTTGTTTATCAATATCGCAAGCACTGACGAATGTCTCGCCAAGCATCTTGTTATTCTCGAATTCTCCAGAGTGTTTCCATACTTCATTTCTGAACGATGATAATTCCTTTAACTGCTTTTCAATGTCCTTACGTCTGAAGGAAGTGGGAATTAAACTATCCAATTTGTCTTCAGCTTGTCGAAGCCACGGAAGAAATACGTCTTGGGCTTTGTAATATTTCTTGCAATGCTCAGCGCAAGTTTGCAATCTAGTGTGTCTTTCGACGGTATCTTTCTTCAAACGATCCCACTGCGATTGCATTTTATCCAAGTCGCGCTGGAGAGAGCGGTTTTCAGTTTTCTGAGATCTTGCAAGTATATCGCGTCCTTTGTTCAACAACATTATGACTTCATGTTCTTTGCCCATTACATTTCGATACACAGGCTAAAAGAATAATATTTTAATTTTAATAATAATAAAAAATGAGGCAAAAAGTATAAAATGTATATAAAATATTAAGAAAAAAAAACTGAATACTTATACATACTTCGTGATGATCAAGTTGTTGCTGCAAAACCTCTCTGTCGGCAGATACCAATAATTTTTCAGACATGCTACCGAGTTCGTCCGCAAGCCATCCGAGAGTTCTGCTACAAGATGCCTCAAATTGTCTTCCATCTCGAAGATTACCTTCAATTTCAGCTTTCCTATGATCTAACTTCTTCTGTAAGTTGTTGTACATCTTGCCAACGGTGGCAAGCTTTCCTTGGATCTCGGATTTCGATGCTGGATCACTTAAAACTTCGCACAATTGAGCACCGGCCATCTCCACGTCCGCTAATAACGGTCTCTGACCTTCCAATTGCCTCTCTAGATTTTCGATTTTACGAAGTTGTTCTTCAGGGTCTTTTTCGAGACTCAATTCGTCCAAGTTATCTGAAATTCCTTGCAGGGCATTCCGTAATCGGTTAAGACTGGCGTCGAACTCGCGACTGGTATCAGCGGCATCTCCTAAACTCTGAGCTCTTTCGTCCAATCTTCTCATTTGATCCGCCCATCTCTGCCGAATGCTCTGCAATCTCGCGTTTATCTTTTGTCCGTCCGGAGAATCTATAGATATCGCGATGAGAATGCTTTCTCCGATTTGTGCCAGGTGATCCGATTGCGGCTGTTGAGTTCTAAATTCTTCTCGCAAGACTTGCACTTGCTGCATTTGGCTCGCAGCCATACGAGGATCGGCTGAAATGGGTCCCAAAGCGCTCAGCATTCGTTCTTTAGCGCCGAGCCAAGAATCAAGACTCTCATACGTGTCGTAAAAGTCTTTGATGTCTTCCAAGAATTTAATTCTGTCCTTGCATTTGTCCGAGATGGATTTCCATCGACTAACAACGTCTTCCATCTCGTCGTTCAATCTATCCACACCGTCTGCTCCTTTTTTACGTCTGACTAAATCACGCACTTGCGTTCGAGTGCTGTCTAGTAGAGACTGTTTTTCATACATCTCTTCGACGAGAATCTTTACCTGCTTGATTGTTTTGTCCGCATCATCTTTAGTGACAGGCATACTTTCTTTAGGCAACTGTCGTTGAATCTGTATTAAAAAAATATTTTTATACATTATTGCAGACTATATCTGAATTAAAAAAATATAATGTTATTATAAAAAAATATAATATTATAAAATATAATATAATATAAATACTAATAATTAAAAATATAATACGTTATTATAAAAAAATATATAATTACCTTGTCCAAGAATTGAGAGAGTACTTTCAGATGATCCAAATGCTTTTTCACTTCTTCTTTAATATTATCCAATTCTGTTTGGCGATCCGACAGTCTGACGCCAAGTAATCCATATCTGTGATTAATTTCCGAAAGCTGCTGTTGAACCGGCGATAATTCTTCCAAATGGAATCCATCTTGACTCGAACGACGACTGCTGAATCCGCTGCTACCACCTGGAGAGACCGGACTTTGAACCGCGTAGGATTTAGTGGGTGACGGCGAGCGACCGTCTTGCGACATTCGCAGTACTACAAAAAAAATGACAGAAAAAAACGATCAAACATAACGAAAATGGCAATGCTCGTGTGCTGAAAAAGATGCAATGTGAAAAGTATGTAAGCTAGAATTACTATAACTGATAAATTGCACGAACGGACGGTGTCAATTGGCTCGTAAAGGATCCAACACACCGTTTACAGGCATGATAACAGTCATGTACTATCGAAAAAATATATCTATGCAATTGAACAAATGTAATAATTTTATTTAGCAAACGCAGACGATAATACCTGGCCTTTTTGTCGGGCTAGTACTGCCACGTCGACGAGTCGGACTTTCGCCGCGTTCCTTCATCAAGCTATCATACGCGATACCTAGATCGTTGATTTTATCGACAGTATTGCCGTAGTCGCGATATTCTTTTTGTATGGGTTTTAACTCCTCCTGTTGCATCTTTAGTTTGTCTAAATCAACGGCAATCGGTTCGAGTCCTTGCACTTTATTCTCCGTGCGGGTAAGCCATTCGAGTACTTGATCCCGCAGTTTCTCATATGCCGTATGTTGCTCCGCCCGTGATTTGCACAATCGTTGTTTCTCGTCGAGGAGATTATTCAATTCCTTCCATTGAGACTCGAGCGCCTTGATTTTATCTCTAATCGCGCCTGCTTCGGTTATATCCTTCTTGGAGATTAAATTCTTTCCGTTTCGTATGAGATCTTCGAAGTTTCCGCGCTGATCTTCCCGCATGTCTATCAATCGGGCCATCTTGGCCTCATATTCCGACATATCAAGCTTGCCCAGATCTCTCGAGTCGAGAACTTCCATCATATGCGCGTACCAACTCTCGAATTTGGATACGTCCGCGAGGAATTCGTTCAGGGCTTGCGCAATTTCATCTAAAAATTCACCGCGCCTCAAGGATTTGTCCATCAGTTTCTCAAATCTGCTTTGTACATCTTTTAATTTACTCTCGATACGTTTAGCAATCCGAACGTTGCTGGAATTTAAAAGAAGATCCTGAGCGTTTCTTGTGATAGTTTCCACGCTCAAACGGTGACTATCTAGATCCGCCTGAAGCAATCGCTGCTCTCTTTGCTGCTCTTCCAAGCGTTCCTTCTGCAAACTTGCCGGGCGTTGAAGCGACCTATGCAATACAATTTGCATTAAGACATGAGAATAAATTAAATCATTATTATTAAAAAGGATAATCGTATTTATACGTACTTAAATTGACTTTCAATATTGTTCAGCCACGCAACCAGACTGTCCAATGCATCTTGCACTCCTTGGCTTCTCACTAGCGCCGTGTCGAGCTCCTGACATTTCTCAGCCAGGGCGTTACTAAGTTGTTTATACTTATCCTCTAACGCTCTCACCGGTTCTTCGAGGTCGTTAGCCTCCTTCATCGTCAGTTGGCCTTCCAGGGAATTCAGTAGAGCCTCAACGCTATGTTTAGCATTATCGACCAAACGTTCATTAGCGAGAAATTCGTTGTTCAATGCCTTGGCTTTGCTCAGTTGATCTTCTACTTGTTTTGGTTCGGCGGCGATAGGCTCAGAGATAACTCTGTGCACTTTCGGTTCGACCTCCCGCAACCACGTTCTAGCTTTATCCAGAGAATCGTGATAATCTCTCTGTTTGCCACCGACGCCTGATAATCTATCTGACAAAAGATTTGCCCGGGACAATAAATCTTTGTATTGAGCTGTCGCGCTGGATACTTCAGCTCGTACTGGCGAGTCTTGGCTAGCTGTGAGTTCCTTGTGTGGCAATCTTTGCGGCAAGCTAGTTCTGAAATCGTTGAGAACTTGAAGATATTCTTTACTCTCGTCGACGAATTTTTGCGCTGCCATCGTGATGAATCTCAGGTCTGCTTGATGAGCAATGACATCGCTGATGAAATCGCGAGTCGTATCCGTACTACTGCTCAGCTTATTCAAATCGGACAGGGAACGTTCTTTATCCTCGAGAATACATCTGGTCTTATCCAACCAAATTGAAAATGTCGTCAACTCATTCCTATGAAGAAATAAATCAATTAAAATTCGGAAAACACTCGATTAACTGGTAATTACACTGGAGCGATACAAACTTGAACTTTGTCAATTCATCTCTGGCACCAGTGAGACGTTTCACTAATTTATCAGTGCGATCTAACGCTTTGTCGAATCGGGTTTTGAGGGACCGACCGTTCTTCTCCAACGTGGACACTTCATCGCTGGACAAGACGTTGCTGCCGGTCAAGACGACTTGTCGAATCTGATCCAGACAGGATGATACGGGCCGATTGTGCGACTCAAGATCCTCCTTAATATCCTGCAATAAATATTCCATATTAAAATATATCCGAAACTCTTTGATTCTACAAACGCTCGATTATAATCGAATTCTATTGCACTCACTTTCATGGTAATTATCTGCTTTCTCAACTCTTCCACATCCTCTTTCACGGTATCTTGATTCGCCAACTTGTCCTCAACTTCGGAAATCCATTGTAAAAGCTTAGACAAGCTTTCGTCGCAGAGCTTATATTTTTCCTCCACCGCTTGCTAAAATGAAAACGATTCATTTCGATCTACATTCGTGCAATTTGCCATTTCTTTACATCTAATGTGTGCTAGAAAAAACATTAAGATAAATCATCGTCAAAATTATCATCATCTTACCAATGACGATAGTTCGTCGTATTAATTAAAGATTAAGAGAAAAACGTAGGTAAGCTTACGACATATCTCACGCATGCAAACACAGGCACACTCTTTTAACGTACAGGTAAAATACAGTATTAAATGGTAGCTTTAATTTATCTGCAAGAACTGCATATCTTACGTATCGGTTTTTTTTCATATGCAGTTTAAAGCATAAACGATAACAGTATGAAGTCACATAATATAAAACAGGTTCCAACAAGCAAATAAATTAAAACGCACAATGACAGAGTAAACGTGATGGTAACTGCGTAATATAATGCGTATAATGTATGATATACAGTAATGTACAACGTGGAGAAATTTTTTCCGCTAAAACTCATGCTAGCGAAAACATAGGTTCGTGATAAGTAAACATAATCATACCTGAAAAAAAGGAAAAAAACATTTAAATGTGTATAATAATTATATATCATAACTTTTTTTTTTAACACAGATAGATATTAAAAATTAACGAGTGAATTAAACGCATATTAACAAGTAAATTAATATAAAACTGAAACAAGATATTATACATCTATTAATATTATTTTATAATGTGTTAATCATATAAATTTTTTGCGGAACGGTAAATAAAACCAACCTTGATCATTTTATATCAAAATCTACTGATTAAAGAGACCTTTGATTATTATATATTTATGTGAAAATGATAATTATAATCATAATATTATGTAATTATTGTTAATACTGCGATATTTATTATTATTACATTGATCTTAATTACCGTTTGCATTTTATTTAAAATTACGTTAAAAATGATATAAAGGTGACATAGTATCAATCGATAGTTATTGTATCATTATTATATTTTCTATTAGAATATTTGTTATTTCTTTTAGATATTCCATCATAAAAATATTTAATTATATTTATTATTATTTTATTATTATTCTATTTCTCATTCAACAATTTAATTTATTTGCCATAATCGTTTCTTTAGTCATTTTAATGAAAATAATGAAAGATAAATTATATAATTATATATGTGAACGATTGCACTTTTCAATTAAATCCTTTTTTTCCTTGTAAACAAATGTTAATTTTGAATGAAAAATGAAACAAAATGCCAATTCGCAAATTTTTATTCCATACATGCATTGGCGATATGCATTAGTATGCAAAAGATGTTTTTTTTTTACAATTAAAGATCATTAGTTTTGCCTGAATGAAACCAAAATATCCCCAATATGTAAATCCAATTTACCTGAATATATAATTGCTGTATTCTTTCAAAAGAATCTTTACAATATGTGTATATAAATACATCAAAATTTATATACATAGACGATAAATGCTTTTATCATAAAATAAGATAAACATCAGAATTAATCAAAATTATTAGATTAATGATAAAATTATAGATTAATGGTAAAATTATAGATTAATGCTACTTATAATTTATTAAAAAAGAGATTAGCGTTGTTGATGCGACCAAACTTGGCTTGGGATTAATGATAGTCTGCATGGTCAAGGAGATTGTTCACATGATGCGATGCACGATGTATCATTCGATGGCTTGCCAATCGCCGATTACATAATGACGAGTCCTTCAAAGGAACATACGCGATCCGATTAGTTCATGATGATGGCCAACCCTTTACTGAACCCACATTAAGGTAAGCACGAAGATGTAAGTATGAGATTTATGTGAAGAGGAGACGGATTGATAATGTGAGATAAAAACGTTGGAAGCGAGCATTCCGATAAAAGGATGCACGGGGTGATTCCTTTGTGGAACGAAGGGAGAAAGAGGCAAGACCAGAGTGAAGATGAATCTTGTTTATATGCCCATGCACGTATCAATTTATTCATTTTTTTTTTGCTGATCGAGATGTAAAAAACAGGAGAAAAGTCATGCGAGTCAAGAATGAAGATTATTAAAGGGTCTATGGGAGACCACCATGCGCCGATGCAAGCGTCTCTCCTGGCGAATAATGATAGGATTCACGTTAAGTCTCAGGCAAAGGTGATGTGAGATGTGACGGAAAGAATCGCATGACAGTCAAATGTAATGTCAATTCGTGTGATGATATATATGTAATGATAATCACATCCAACTCTCAGGAAGCTGTTAGAGAACCATGAGTGGAAACAGAATAGCAACGTAAAACTCGGTGAGAGAAAATTGTAGGAACTCAAAACAGTAAAACGAACGGAGGGCAAAAAAAGAGTCAATCGATGCGGGAGACGCGAGGATGTAAAAGACATTCTGCTTGTGATCCTTACTTACCCTGGCTTCAGCGGCGAGTATATAACCCCGCTCCAAGGCCTTCACGAAGTCGATACTCTTGCCGTCCGTGTCCTCGATTAACCTGCCCTCCACGGAATCTACTTTCCCACTATTTATCACTTCTAACAAACTCTCGATATTACCCGTCAACGGATCTTTAATCACAGTAGTAGACGGATCGATCAAACCCGATTCGATCGCGTCTGCCAACGTGAGACGTTTGCGATCTAACACTGAGGTGACAACAAATGGATCGTGAAAACCGCCTGTCGTCGGATTGTAAAGACCAAACTGCAGCGCTTCGATAAACGAGACGCCGTTTCTCGGAGTGATCAACAGACCGGTTTCCAGGGCCTTGGACAAACTGTACAATTTGGACGTGGCCGTATCTAGAACGTTACCCTTCTCCGCGTCCATCATGCCCTTGCGGAAGGCTTCCGGCAATTTTACTAGCTTCTTTTTCTGCGAGTCTTTGATTAGTGCCGAATCTGAGTCTACGATACCGAGGCCGACCGCCTCCTTGAGAGTCAACTGCTCGTTCGAGATCGGATCCGTGAGTTTGCCCGATTCCAGCGACAGATACTCCTTTTCGATCGCCTCCTCGAAAGCGAGAGGTTCCCTAACGAATATAGTGACATCGCCGAAACGCACGAAACGCGGTTCTCTTTTGCCTCCGCCGTTCAGTTCGATCGTGCCTTTGACGGATGAATCCACGATACCGTCCGCTATCGCTCTCGTCGTCGTTATGAACCGACCGGTCCTGGGATCTTTCACAACTGACGTATTCGGATCGATCAATTCGAAATTGATAGCTTCTTCTAGAGTGCACTCTTTGACGCTTCTATCGCCAGGTCCGACTTTGGAAACTTCTAAAGGTGATCGATGAGCCATCTGCTGTGCCAGAGATTTATCGATCGTGACCAACAAACCTCTTTCTAAAGCAACATCGATATTAAAAGCGCGCGTCGTCTTGGGATCCAATATTCTGCCTCGAGACACATCGACCGTTCCATCCTCGATTCCTGACAACAATGATTTGATCTGTCCAGTTGTCGCATCCTTCAAAGCGGTAGTATCTGGATCTACGAGGCCACAATTGATTGCTTGAAGCAGATCATGATATTCATTGGCGACAGGATCAGCGAACTTGCCACTGTCCCCGCGATAAAGATGACATTTGACTGCCTCCTCGATCGATAGAGGCATCTTCGACGTGACAATGAAGCCCTTCTTCCTCGCTTCCTGCAGATTAATTGTTTTGTCTAGCTCACGAATGACATACATGCCGCGAATATCATCGATGATGCCAGCGGAGATCGCCTCAGCCAAGGGAATGTATCTGTTAGACTTGCTACATTTGACAATTGACGTCAACGGATTTATCAGATCCACTTGACATGACTCGGCCAGCGTCAGCTTGCGATTGTTGGTCGGATGTACAAATTTGCCCGATGAGATATCATACATGTTCATCAATAAGGTCTCATAAAGACTGAATCCCATACTTTCAATGTCGACGATCAGGCCAAGTTGTAACGCGACTGACAACGAAACCGAACCACTGGCGCCTAATTCCTTGAACATACCGGTACGTCTATCGATCACACCAGCGCGACACGTCTCTGCCAACGATAACAATCGCTCGCCACGTTTGTCCCAGTAACACGGTAACGTAGGGCTGATAATGCATTTCCTCATTGCTTCGTGTAACGTTACGGTTCTTCCTGTACTAGAATCGGTGATTTTGCCTGTGTTATCGTCGTATAATCCTTGATGAATGATACGTTGTAAGGACACGGCGGCTCTGCTGTCCACGATGAGGCCAGATTCAAAGGCGTCCCTTAGAGATACGTTTCTGTTGCTTTTGCTAGGATCCTTGAGATAACCAGTAGTGCCATTCACGTAACCCAAATCTATAGCTTCCATCAATGTCATAGTTTTCCAGATGCTAGACCTTGTATCTTTGACGGTAACTGAATCAGCATCTATCAAATTCTTTTGAATAGCTTCCAATATTGTCAAATAAATTCCCGTCTGCGGATCTAAGAATTTATTAGTTTTCTCATCGAGAATACCTTTCGAAATAGCTTCGCTAAAGCTCATCGGTCTTCTTGTTTCAAGAAGCAGACCGCGTTCCAACGCTTCCTGAAAATCTACGGGAGGTCCTCTAGCATGACTGACTGTTCCAGACTTGGGATCGACAATCGAAGTCTTGATAGCCTTGTTGAATGTTATTACATCACCATTGGGATCTCGTACGATTGCAGTCGTCGTGTCTATCACGCCCATTTTAATCGCACGATCAGTAGGAAGCTTCTCTTGTGTATCAGGCACTGTGAATTGTCCAGTCTTTGGATCATATAAACCTTTGAATACTGCATCAGGTAAGGATATTTTGCGTTTCGCAGGAACGACGAAGCCACGATCTAATGCATCAGTCAACGAAAGAGGCACACTGGTACATGGATCAATAGCTGTACCAGTCTTTGCATTGACGAAGCCGTGTTTAATAGCGTCACCTAGAGATATAATATCATTATTTCTTGGATCTTTAATCGACGGACCGTCCTTGCTAATAAAATTCCTCTCAATCATTTCTTCTAAGGTATAATTATTACCGTCAATGTTAAAACTACCGGTTTTCGGATCGTAAACTTGAAGAGCTAAAGCCTCTTGCAATGTCCATGGCTTTACAGTACTCAAGATGTATCCTTTTTCAAAAGCAATGTCTAATGTCATGGAATGTGGATAAATCAGTGTTCCTTTTACTAAATCTATTAGCTTACATTCTTCTGCATCGCGAAGAGAAATAACTTTGTCTTTTCTATCGTCTTTTATCATTGTCGTAGAACCGTTTACGTAACCGATAGCCAATGCTTCATTCAGTGTTAAATTTTCCCCTGTCATGGGATTCAAAACGAGGCCAGTCTTTGGCGAATAATACTCCTGAACAATCGCATCGATCAATGAAAGCACAAATGGTGTTGTAATAATTAAATTTTTGTTAAGCGCTACGTCCAATGGTAGAAGTTCTCCTGCTCTTGTATCGCATAAACGACCTGTGTTGAGAATCAAGTTCATCGTCAGCGCGTCGTCCAATGAAACGGATGAACCGGCCTTGGTATCCTCGACCTCGGTGATAAACGCATCGACAATACCTCTACGGACACCCTCCTCGATGTCGATCGGTTGTTTGGTAAATGGATCTTGTATCTTACCCGTCTCGGTATCATAGAGATCTTTCCTGATGACGGCTTCCAGCGAAATCGGTTTGCGAGAAGTAGGCACAATCAGTCCTTGCAAAAACGCGGACGTGACGACATCGACTTCTGTATTAGTTTCCATATTGATAATGTCTTTACGCAGATTGAGAGCTTCGGTTTCCAGCGCCTCGGACAGCGGCATGAGCTCTTCAGTGATCGGATTTCTTACGCTAAGTAACTCAGGATCGATGAGTCCCATGTCGATAGCCTCACTCATTGATAATGCTTGTCCTGACTCAGGATTTTGGATGGTTCCTGTGATAGGATTACATATACCGATATCGATAGCTTCCTGCAAACTCAGAGGTTGCGCTTCTGTGAGTTGTTCTTTTTCTGATTCGTCTTCTAGTTCCTCTTTAATCCATCCTAAACGTACTGCCTCGAAGAACGGTATCTTCTTACCAGTTTTTGGATCAACCATGTAAGCAATATTTCGATCTATAAGAGGCCTGCTGATCGCCTCACGCAATTTCACATACAAATCCGTCTTAGAAGATAGATCCTTAACAAGCACCCGATCAGGATCGAAAACTTTCAGATTCAAGACTAAATCGTTGAAGGAAATGATAGTGCCTGTCTCTGGATCTAAAAACTTTTCTCTAACTGGATCAAATACTCCAAATTTCGCGAGAGCCTGAGGCGTCAATTCTTTCGTAATAATTATCGAAACTTGTTTAGGCATTTCTTCATCCGTGATTGTCGTTAATTTATTATCGTCCTCCATTTCCATATCCACAATGTCCATCTCTTCCGTGTATAAAGATTCTGTTTTCTGTATAGATGAATATTCTTCTGTCATCGCCTCGTTTGAATTTTTACTCTCTTGTGAGATAGGCGCTTCTTTGGATACTTCATGTGAATCGGAATGAGAAGGCCTCTGGCTAACTTGAATTTGTGTTGAAGTAACTTGTGTTGAAGTAACTTGTGTTGAAGTAACTTGTGTTGAAGTAACTTGTGTTGAAGTTTCTGCAGGTGTCTCCTCCTTTGCTGTATGTACGATGGATGGTTTCGCCGTCACGAGTACATCCGGCTTTGTTTCCTTAGATTTGTGACTTGAAATTGCGTCAACTACTGCTTTTCCAGCCAGAACCGGTGCGGCGATGACTGCCAAAAGACCCATTTTTGTAGCTTCTGTTATGCTAATTGGACGATTCTTCTGATCTCGTACGGTCTTCATTTTTCCAGTAGTGGGATCGAGTAGGCCTTTTTCAATTGCTTCCTTGGTAGTAATAGTTTCTTTGGTTTTTACATTATAAAGCACGGAATCAGATTCGATTAGGCCCACTTCCATTGCTTCCTTCAAGTTGTACGATTCATTCGTCTCAGGATCTTTAAACGTTCCTGTTGCTTCATCGTAAATCTGCTCGACTGCCTCTAACACGGTCAAACTATTATTGGATTTTCTAGGTGATACAGATTCACTCTTGCTAGATGAAGTATCGAGAATTCCTTCTTCGACAGCCTTGGCGATAGGCATTGTGATGCCAGTACACGGATCAGTATAAATACCTTTCTCCATATCCACGAGACCTTTCTCTACCGCGTGATCGAAAGACATTTTGATGTCTTTCGTCGTAAATTCTTCCTTGCTTTCCGATTCGTCTTTAATGATACCTCGTCGTCGAGCTTCTTCGACGGCAATAATATTACCGGTATTGATATCTTGCACCTCCATTGCGCTCTTCAGCGCGTAACCTGGCAAAAGTTCAACAGTCTTGGTCGTGATAGTGTGATACGACGTAATTGTCTCGGTGATAGCAGCGATCGTGTTCTCGCCGCGGACCGGTGGTTTGATGATAAGTAAACCAGACTCAACAGCTTCGGCAATGGAAATTGGAGTTCCCGTAGTAGGATGGAAAAATATATCATTATCTCTATCGATCAATCCCGATTCCAGAGCTTTCGTGATTTCTATGCTGTCAGGAGCCATTGGATAAGGTAATGCCATGATAAAATCTTCTTTTATAGCATCTTCCAATGGTAGATGCTCCCCAGTAATCGGATGACGAACTTCCTTTCTACTCGTATCTATCAATCCACGTTTTAACGCGACAGGGAATGTCATTCCGGCTGGCGGTATGTCAGAAGATTCAATTGGTTCTTTCAATTCGAATACTTTATTCTCTATGGCCTTGACTAGATTTACGCTGCCACCTTGTGTCTTCACCAACAATCTGTCCGGGTCAATGATATCGTTCGCGATAGCAGACTGCAATGTTTCTGTGCGACCGTCAATAGTAAACATCAAATTGGATAAAGGATCTACTATTTCACACACTATAGCTTCGTTGAGAGTAAGATGCGCACCAGTTTCCGGATGAACGATTTTACCTTCTAAAGGATCTAACAAACCTTGCCTGTACAAGCTGTGCACGGACAGACTCTTCGCCAAAGGCACTAATATGTGCGCGTTCTCCGGATCCAAGATTCCGCGATCGACGGCTTGTTTAATAGTGAGCACGTCGCCTCTTTGAGGATCCACAATCTGTCCTTGATCAGCATTTATTCGATTGTCGCGGATAGCTTCGGAGAGAGTAATCGGTTCTCCTTTCTCGTTGCACATTTTCTTCGCAAAGGTATTCGCTGTTTCTACATCGATGAGACCGCTCTGCAAGGCCTCTTCGACCTTGACTATTCTTTTTCGCATCTTTTGAAGAACGATAGGCTTCGCTTCCCGCTCAGGACTCTGCGATATAGTTCTCGCTTTACCAATTGTAACCTGATATCTCGGTTCGACCGTCACTCGCGCTCTGGTTTTCGTGGCCAGACTCTCGCCATCTGGAACGTCATTGATAGATGTTGACGAATCAGTAAATAATGCGCTTTTAGTATCTTCTTTCGGCACGTAAACTTTTTCAGATTCACCGTGTACTATAACTTGCGCGACAACCTTTTCATTTTCACCGTCAAATGTATCACCTGCAGATTCAACAATCGGCGAAGTTGCATTTTCGTGCATTGGAATGATACCACGTTCGATGGCAACTTCTCTTGGTATTTTCTGACCGGTTATTGGATCTTTAACCATTGTTCTCTGCACGGCTTCTATAGCAGCCGCGGTGGCCGCAAGAGGAGCGCCAAGAACGGATATCACTCCGAACTTTGTCGCATCAAGCAGTGATATCTTCCTGCCACCGTCGATTTTATATTCGGATGTGTTCATGTCAAGGATACCACGATTGACAGCCTCCGCCATGCTAATATCTTTACCGGTCGTTGGATCCTTAATAATTACAGCAGTAGATGGTATTGTTCCTTCGGAGACCGCGGCCAGGAGATTCGCAGATTTGCCGGTTTTCGTGGAGATCACTAAAGCTGTTCCTGGATCATAAATTACTCCCTGAGTTACCTGTACTGGATCTGGCATGGACATGTCATCGCTGACCTTTATTTCCGTTTGCTGAGAAGGATCGCCAATATGCGTCAACTTTACTATGTCAGGTTGACCCGAAACTCTTGTGATCTGCAAAAGTCTTTGATTAGCATTATCCTTGTCGGCATTCGAACCATCTTCCAATATAACCAGTCCATTCACGATCGCTTCTCTCATAGAAATTTTTTGCGGATAACTATAGTGACCCGTGGAGTCTAAAATATTTTTTTCCAAGCTTCGCACCAGAGATACTCTTCTCCCGTTGTTGGGATCGATAACAAAACCAGAATTTGGATTGATGATTTGCAGCTTAATGCATTCTTCAAAAGAAACTAATCTGTCGGTGCCTGGAATTATGAAGAGACCTGTCGCAGGATCAAATAGTTTCCTGTCGATAGCCTCGGCGAGTGTCCAACCATCCGCAGGCAATTCGAACACCCGTTTATCAGTGACAGCACGTTCGTTCTCTATAAATTTCATGATTTCTGATTTGTGACTTGTACTTGGTGTAGCTGTACTTGGTGTAGCTGATGCCATTACTTTTGTTTCCATATCTTGTTTTTCATCAGATAATTCATCAGGTAATTTAAGAGTACCTGTATGACTTTCTACATGTGTTTCTTCAACGAAAGTTCTTTCCAATGTTATCTCGGATGTTTGAGATTTGGTTGCCTCATTAATTGTCGTGGATGATATTGTCATTTCTCCAGTCTTAGGTACGAGTGAATCTGTCACAGAAGAAATAGAATCAGTTACTGGCGATGATGCGATCGTCATCGTAATAGAAGAAGATTCCTTTCTCGGTGTGGAAGACGCTTGTGGAGTTATCTCTTTGGTAATGATAGTAGTAACCGTTCCAACTGCTCTAGGTGGTGACTCGCTTCTTCTAGATATGTCCTCGATACTTGCCGTTAGAGTGCTTTCGAAAGTTGTGTGTGCTGGAGTGTGTTCTCGAGACGAGTGCACAACATGCTGACGAACATCAGTACCGAGCAGACTCTGTTCAATAGCATCTTCGATAGACATCGTCACTCCCGAGTCAGGATCTTTAAATTCATTTCTACTTTCGTCAATCAATCCACTATTTAATGCTTCTTCATAACTTATCTTGTAGTCTCTAGTAATAATTTCACCGGTTTGCAACGTCGTTACGTACTTTCTGATGGTTTTCGTTACAGTTTGAGTGGTGACCGCAATATTCAGCATACTGGTGAGTAAGGCAGCACCATCGGGAGTGATGAGTCCACGTTTGATTGCCTCTTCCAATGGAACTATTCTCTTACTACGCGGATCCAGTAATTGACCGGATTTTGGATCAAGCAGTCCGAGCAATACGGCTTCCAAAACGCTCACTTCGCGTCCGTTCTCGATGATGCCGATGCCACGATTCAACATCTCTATCACTTCCGGTCTAATATATTCTTGTTCTTCCGCCTCGCTCAACGAAACAGTCTTCCCAGTTTTCAGATCGATCGTGAAGGTACCGCCGGACTTTGAGCTAATCAGACCCTTCAGCAAGGCCGCATTTAGACTGATATATTCGCCGGAAACTGGATCTTTAAAACCGTCGATGTCAAAGATAGTTTTCTGCGTCACCGATGTAATCAGGCCTTTCTCAACGGCTTGAGGGATAGACATCTCCTCAGCCTTTAGCGTATCGCGATATACACCTTCGACTTTGATGATACCAGTAGCTAAGGCATCCGCGAGCGTAATCATTTCACCCGTTCGAGTATCTACTATAGATTTGACAATCTCCGAATCTAAAACACCTCGAGATATAGCTTCCAATATCATCAATTTGCTACGATGAGCCGGACTGACGATCCTGCCTCTATCGTCAATGATCTCTAAATCGCAACAATCCTTGAGCGTCATCGGCTTAACAATCAACTGACGACGACGGGCTTCCTTAAACGGCAACTTCTCCATCGACAAACCGTGCATGTACCTGCCGCTTTTCGCGTTCAATATCCCGCGTTTCAAAGCATCAGCCACCGTCACTTTAGTGTCGTTCCGTGTGTCCACGATCTCTCTTATCTTCGAATCGATAACACCTTTGTCGATCGCCTCGTCCAAGGGATAGGACTCGCCAGTGATTCTATCGACGACGCGGCCGGACCGGTCATCCACCAGACCCTGCGATATCGCGTCCGATAGCGCGACGGCATTGCGGCTCACCCTAACGGTCACGTCCACCTTCGTAAGATAGCCCCGTGAGTATGCTTCCTCGATCGAGATCCGCTCACCGTTCTCGGCGACGACCTCGCCCGTGGCCGGATCCAACAAGCCTTGCCTCATCGCATCGACAACGCTAACCCCCGCGATGGCGCCGCTCCCGGCGCCCTTGTCTTGTGCAGTCGTTACCTTAACTCGGTCTGCGATGTCCGCTCGCTCAGCGTCGCAGAGCTCCCGCTGGATCGCCTCGAGCAGAGACACCCGACGACCCTCCTCGGATTTCACCCCGCATGGACCTAACAGCCGATTAGCCAGAGCGATGTCGATGATACCGTCGCGCGCGGCCTCCTCGATCGACACGCTCGTCCTGCCATCGCTCGACGTCACGATCCTACCGTTTCTAACGTCGAGGATCCTGAGCCGAATCGCCTCGCCCACCGTCAGGACCTCGCCGCTGCTCGGATCTACGATACCCCTAACGTCAATCACGTTCTCCGCACCGGTAACACCCCCATCGTCGACCCGCGGTACCCTTCTAGGATCCCTAAGCTCGCTACTAAACCCGCCGCTGTCTACGACGGATGAGAAGTCTTGCTGCTGATGTTGCCGTCTATTGGAGCTGATCTCACTCTCGTGCGAGCGCTTGAGCAGAGTTCCATCGGCACCAATGGGTGAAACCGTGGCTCCCGGGCTGGTGGTCTCGCCATTTGGTCGATACACTTGCTCCGCGTTGTAGGTTCGCTTCGAGATCTCGCTCGAGAAAGTCGTCTCCGTAGACTCATGCCTTTCAGAGGTGTATCTGCAAGAGTAGTTATGTTAAAAGATGTAAAATGAAATACTTTGCATGTACAAGATGTCTCACAAGTGATAGCAAAGCTTGAAGAGACGTGTTATTCAGATTAAAATAAAATAAATAATAACAAAATAATAATAATAAAATAATAATAATAAAATAATAAAATAAAATTGTCCGGAAATGCTATATGTCCTTTAAAATTTTCGGAAAAAACTTGAATTTTCTCTATATTAAAAATCTAAACTCAAACTTTGACGCCAAAAAAATGAATAAAATGCATAAAAATATGTATATGCATAAATTTGTTAAGCTAATTTTATTTTAAGATAATTCTAGCTTATTTTTATCTGTAAAATTGTCTTCCCTTTTCCTGCTCTCAATTTTGAGACATCCTATATAAATATCGTGAAAGAAGCTTGAATCTATTTTTTAAAAATAAAGTGAAATGAACCGTTTTGAAAATAGATTCTTCATACTCTGCTTTTAAGTTATACTCACTGCGACTGAGTGTAATGTGTGGTCGTGGATGTGTAACGTTCCTCGCTAGTAGTGCTTTCATATATGTTGAATTCTGTGCGGAACGTTCGCAGTGGCCTTTGTTCTTGAAGAACACGCTGAAAGTAAATATTGCATAACTTATATGAAACATTTCGGAAACATATAAAATGTGTGCACAGACTTTACAATATATATTCATTCTAAATAAGTACATTATACATGTACATTATATTTAGAATGACTTTTGAAAGGTCACTTTATGCAGATTTTCGCAGAGAATCTTTACATATATATATTTAAATTTTTACCAAAATCTCAATTTTTCTTCCATAGTCATCATAAAAAAATATAATATATTATAATATATTATAATATATTATAATATATATATTATATATATATATACATATACATATTATAATATATTATAATATATAATATTTTTTAATATCAAAGATAATAAAAAGAAATATTCCTCTTCGAAATCATAGAGTTAATGATAAAAATAATCTTAATCCTTAAGAATAAAATTTAAAAATATATTTCTTGATAATAATTTATTAAATCTAGCGGGAACAGCTAATGTTATTATCATCTTTATGAAGATTAAACACATCTGAGCCGACCTCTAATTCCTAAATCGGATTGGCAATTACATCACGTCTATAATCGTTATATAAAAATCATGAATTTTTCGTATTTTCGTTATACGTTATGTTTACAATTTGTAAGATAACTTTACAAAGACTCTTACCGATTTTTCATTTAAATTTATAATTTTTCTAAATTTTTTTCAATGGAGTCACCATAAAAAACTATTTTTTAATATCAAATATTCTTAAAAATAAAAAAATATATATTTTATAATTATTTATTAAATCTATCGTTTACGAGAGCAATTAATATCAGTATCATCTTTACGGAAACATTGGATCATGAGTTGATCTGTCACTTTTAATTCCTAAATTGGATTGACAACTACATCACATCTATAATTGTCCGCCATAAAACTCGTAAGTTTTTCATATTTAAAATCGAGTCGTCGAGACGTGATAATAAAAGCGCAAGTTTATATGCGAAAACTAGTGTATAATTGAACCATATGGTCAACAGGCCAGCTCTTTCAACTCAAGACGGGACTCTTAAATAGAGTAGTATTTGCGACGCATGTTACTATTTTTAAAATTCTAATGCGAAGCAACATGCCTTTCCTTTAATTACCTAATTCCATACACGACACACGGCGTATTAAATAATTTCAAACGCAATACACCAGCTTAGACAGCCATAAAATCACCTTATGCAGAATGTGTATCTATTCAAATCTTGTAAAAAAAATTTCCTGATCTTCCAAATATTTTTGTTAAAAATTCCAGGTAAAGAGAATATTTTTAAGATTTTTTTGATGCAACATTGCAGGTTTTCTACGTTTTTCTAAAGAGTAGACACCCTGTTATGTTATCGCAAATGCGAGACGATTATCCTTATCATTATTTACATGTGAACTTAAGATATGAAAGAACACGTGCGACCTGTTATGAATTGAAAAATACTCCAAGATACTTGAAATCGATAAAATAGCGAAATATAGAATAAAATAATAATTTAGTTACATCAAAATATCATTTTGCAAAATTCATCTATTTCTATGTACATAATTTTAAGACGAGACATGAATATTACATCGAAATGTTGATGTTTGAAATCACTCGAAAATCGACTCTAAAACCTTGAAAGAATTTCAGGAAATCACAACTGCGATAAATATAGATAAATTAAAAGATTATTTAAATTAACATCAAAGTTGTGCTTGAATAAAACAAAACTAGCGACTTATGGCAATCTGTATAAATAAAAAATACATCAAATTTATCGCCAAAATAATAGTTTCATCTCTCTGTGACAATTGCTAATTAATTTATGGATTTCATATAAATGAATCAAATCAATTTGTTTCAATGAAAGTAAATCTAAAATTATCGACAAAAAATTGATAACATAAAATCCGTGATTGATTTATCTGTATCATAAATTCGATCGAAATTACAGCTGATTAATGGAATCGCTGAGCTCCAATATCGATTGCCTTTGGTTGCAAAAATTACATGTGCGTGTTTAAAATTTATACCGTGTAATACAACTAAAAAATAATCGGGAAGTCATTCAACTCGCCCACGTAATACACAGCATATGTATTTCGAGCATTTCGTTTCACTGTCAGACACAATTTCGTTACTATTGAATTGTGATGCACGAGCGATATATATCTACGCTCTTTTAAAAGCTTCGGTTTATTCACATTTGTTACATTTCGTTACGCGATAAATGGAGGTCGAATAAAGGGAAATGATGATTGTTTCAATTTTAGAATATTAATAAAACTTTCAAGCTGTCACTGCACACTGAGGAAAAAATTATCTTGAAATAAAAAAAATTTAGTTAACTCAAGAAAGCTACTTATTCGGTGGGTACTAATCACGTATTTACTTATATTCAAAACGTCTGTTTGCTTAAGTTAAGTATTTATTTACATATGTTTAAAAAAATATATATTCTTAAAAAATATAATTTTTAATTAAATATTTTTATATTTTAATTTTACAAAATATTTATTAAAATGCATTTTTTATTCCCAAAAATTTTAAGTTTTTTAATTTTGAAAAATAATATATTTAATTTAATAAATTATAATACATATTTTACGAAAATAGTATTTAAATATAAAAAATATATAAATGAAAATAATGTACTTAATATAACATGCATATTTAATTAGAATTAAATGCTTTTGCTTAAATGAAATAAACAATTCCTTTCATTTAGAGCAAAAGTTTCAAGAAAACAAATTTATTTGATTCAACAAAATTTTTCCCTCAGTGCAATAATGAAATTGAAAGGTGAAACATCGAGACGAGAGAAACTTGCACAAAATTTCGATATCGAAATCGATTCCGCGTATAATCTAGAAAACCGTCGTCCAAAATATACCGGCTCAGTATTTGTGGGTCACCCTGTGCACGCGTTAAAATAAGAATCCGCTATTTAGACGCACGTTGTACGCGAATCTAAAGACGCGAGCTCTCCCGGGGAAAGTAACAATGCTTGGTCGACGCGATGTCTGTCAAGTCTGCGAATGCATTCGTATTTCTACGTTTAATAACGTTTCATCGCGAAAATCGATCGCGACAAGAGTCGTGCTAACGATAAATAAAAGACTTGCAACATCGGCGTAGCCAACGATAAGAGTGTAATGATAACTTAGTCAAATAGCAGCAAAAAGTTTCGTAAATGTCACACATACACGTGGGAATTCGTGCTGACTTTGTCATTTCTGCTTAAATTAGAAAGTCATGAAGGAAAATTATTTCAATTTTTAATACATCGTTCAATGAAATGTTGACAATTCCGACTTATTTCACTTATATAAGCATATATCTGCGTACATATGCGTATATTCGCGTTTGATAAAATCTAAATGCGAATATAGACGTTGGCAATAAAGTAGCACGAGTGAATGTCAGTAATAAAGTCAGTCGATATTCGTAATAATAATAAACATGGTGAAATATATGTAAAAAGTATTCCCAGATGTACCCATCGTAAAGAGAATGACACACTGATCGTTGGTAAAAACAAGCTCTCAAGAATTATTTATTATTGTAACTTCGCGATATGAAAATTTTGCAGACGAATTTCACAAGATTACGCACTCGCAATTTGACATTCGTTTCATGTCACCTTAAGAAAAAGGAACACATTTGAAAATTTAATTCGGAAAACGCGTAGAATTTTAAATAAATGCAATTAAGACTGCGGAGGATTTTTTTTTCTTCCCGATCAGGAACGTCACGAGTCATCTAAACATATGTTAACTTACAACTTCAAAATTGCGTCATTTTACGTGTAATTATAAAACTTTCAACGCACGTTAAATGACACTTGAAAAAAAAATTAAAAAATAAAATAAAATAAAATAAAACAGATAAAAGATTCATTGGCTGCGGTCTTCACTTGTCAAACACGAGCACTATCGAACTCCGCCTTGATCGACACTTTCTTACATACATATCCCGCTAATAAATTTCGTCATTTCGAATCTCCTTTGTCAACTTGTCACTACATCACGTGGAGTCATCATCTCCTTCAATTTCGCTGACGAATCCTCGGACCTACCGGCATCCGAGTCGAGCGGTATGTCATATCTTCGTACCTTTCGCACGATCATCGTGATGATCGCTCACATCGGAGTCACGTTTCTATTTATCTAACGCTACGACGACGAGGACGACGACGTGTCTGATCGACCGGCGAGCATGCTCGACGTAGACGGCCAGCCGGTCCCTCACTACGGCTTCCTCGACGCTCCTCTCGGACGAGGCGCGAGGCGAGACGCCGCCCCCAGTGGCGTTGAAGCGTGGGCGGTCGGAGGGCGCTTTGGGACGTTGAGGATTTTGGCGAATTAAAACGTGCGGCCTTGGCCAATTTAATCATCTGCAATTTAAATGGCCCTCATCGGGTTACGCAACCCGGGCTACGTCTTTATTCTCGAGAGCGACAGAGACAGAGGGAAAACAAGTTTCGCAATTTTAGTGACGGTCGATGCGAGCCAAGTTATTGGATGCTTTCTCACGTACTTCGAGAACGCTAAGGATGCGACTAAATATGAAATATCAAGATTCTCAGGTGATTAATTGATATCTGTTGCGCAACAGATAGTCGAGATTATTCGCGGATGTTATTCATTTCTGACTCTGCAAATTCAAATGGCTTTAATTAGCATAATTGTGCTCGGGCAAAGGCGATGGGAAGATAACGGGCGGGACTCCACGAGCGATCGCTTTCTAAGATTCGTGACGAAGTTAATTAAAATGTACTCGACAGACATAACACCCTCCTTCCAATTTCTCTTTTCATAAATTAACGCATTAATTAAATACATCGCAGGGGCCTCGATAGGTGCAAACGCGCCACTGCTCGTCTACTGTCCTGTCTTTGCGCCGGTCGACCCTATCGATCCCGCACGAGACCGACACGAGCGGGAAAGACGAAAAGCGGTCGTTAATCGAATGAAAGTCGGTCGCCTGTCACGAGTGCTGTTCCGCTCAGTCACGACGTGAGTAGCCTCGAGGCACCGTGACTAACGTGAACGAGCGATAACGCACGAACTCGGTGATCGAGAAAGAAAGAGAGAGAGAAAAAAAGAGGTCTCCTTCCGGCTCTTTCCCTCGCGCGATTTCTCAACGATTCCGCAAGGTCTGCCGCGTATTAGCAGAGAAAAATAGTCGCTATTTCTGATGCCGTCGTCATTCGGAATATAATTATACCTGCGGAGATACGTGGGTATACAGGTTTTCATGAGTGAGCTCGTTCATGTGTCTGCTTGCCTCATCTCCGCTCATTAATTTCAATCTTATGTCATCTCGCAGTTCGTCGAAGTCGAAAAGCTTCCGACCGAGTCGCTTCAGCAAACTATTTCTCTTTGTTTTCAACATTAAGGGGATTTTTACATCTCCACGACTGACTTCATCCGATTATCCGTTACCTTTGAAGAACAATGATAATTAAAATTCTTTACTCGTGTATTAATCTCTGAATTACTTCTCGTTTAATGCAGACAGGTAGATAGATTTTCATCACGAGAGCGCTCGTTCATGTGTCTGCTTACCTCATCTTCGCTCATTAATATCAATCTTGTGTCACTCGCAGTTTGTTGAAAGGCTTCGACCGAGTTACTTCATCAGAATATTTCTTTTTATGTTTTCAATATTAAATAAAAATCATACGTTCTTCGGGCTTTCTTCGTTCGATTATCGCAACCTTATCGTTACCTTTTGAAAAAGAGTGCTTTTAATTATCATTGTATTTTCAATATTAAAGAAATAAAAATCATACATTCTTCGGGCTTTTTTCGTTCGATTATCGCAACCTTATCGTTACCTTTTGAAAAACAATATATAATATTGTTATAAAAATATAATATATTGTTGCGATAATCGAACGAAGAAAGCCCGAAAAATGTATGATTTTTATTTCTTTAATATTAAAAGTACAATGATAATTAAAAGCACTCTTTATTCACGTATTTCTCTTAAGCTTTCTCGTTGATTGTAATTTTTTTCAAACCATACTGTATAAGAACAAAAAGATATTATTTTTGTTACATCGTGCTTTATCTTTCCGATAAATGACATCACATTTACAGGAATCAAAATGCAAAACTCGTATCCAAACAATTTTGACGTTGATAAATTCTCGAGGCAAGATCGCGTGATTAGAAATAGTTCTAATTCGTGATCATGCAATGAGCCGAATATCGAAGTGTTACGATCGAAAGTTTAATAGCGGATCCACTTGATGACTTCTCGTCGTTTGCTCATCAGCAATGCAAATTGCAGACCTTGTTTGAGACTCGGTTCCTAACATTAATTCCGTTCACGTGTCGACACTGCCGCACTCATACGCACAAAGATTAAATCTAATCTAAGACATCCACCAATTCGCCTATAACAATTTTAAGCCAACTCTCTCAATAAATTGCTCAATAATATTAATACAAGAAATACATGACACGTTAAATTATGATATCCTTTCAATTCACCTCCAATGAGATCACATATGAGTGTCCTTTCTTAGAAGAATGTTGTATGGCACGTTGTATTAAATAAAGATCCATGCCTTCTCTCTTCCAACAAGGCCACTAAAATTGTGTCATACAACATCCTCTCAGAAATGATTTCAATCACGGCCAAAATAATATGTGGTGACTCACCTGTAAGGAAATGTCTTCAGGATGTAGCAGTGCCAATTGCCTAATCCGTTCCTCGAGCAGGTTCACGAGGGTCGTATATCTCCGGTTCAGCGTATCTAGATCGCGAGCAACATTATCGACCGTAATAACGGAATCTCTTCGCGGCCTCTTCACCGATGCGTCCAACGACGGGCAGATATCTTCCAATTGTTCTTTGAACGCTCGGAGCCTTTGTCCGTAGATCTAGGGGTTTCCGGTTAGTCCGTTATGGTTAGTAAAATTATCGCTATGTGTGTGTGTACCAATTATACCGTTAGCCTCCGAAAGCGACAGCGAGAGATGAGGCGTTGAAATCACGAGGGTCTTTTGACAATTTTGGCAACCCAATGTGGTTCCAGTAAATAGATAGCGTAATAATGTAATAGCTGTATTCGAGGGTACGTTAAATTTGAAATATGCTTCTCGAATCATTTCAGGAACTATTTCAGGACAAGCACTTAATTAAATCGCGCTGCAATTAATATTGATAAAGGGAGCACAAGAAATACACTTAAAATGCGTGCCGAAATATAAACGTTATATCTTCGCGAACTATATATTAATCGATCAGGCTCCACCTTGCGCATGCTATAGGTCCAGAGTATTCGGGAAAGTGTCAATTATATTGTAAAGCACTTAAGCGATGTATGCGCTGTATCTAGGATTTATAAAAAAAAAATTGGCACTAAATCGCCGCTAAACACGAGATCGTGCAGCTCATTCAATCGTGCTTCTGATGTAATTGAGTTAACGAGGTTTCCTTCGTTAAAGTTAAAAAGGAGAGAAAGTCATCAGTGATATTATAAATGCGCGCTGCTTTAGATTGTATCGTCCCGTGTGTTACATAAGTGAGTACATTTACTTAATGAATGACAGTTAAAAGACGGTTTGCGGACCGTTTAGCGGTCCGGATTTACAAATAGAAAATTCTACCGTAGGTAGAAAATTAATGTGACATCGCCGGCGTGAAGAAGGCACCGAAAAAACAGCAGCAGATTCGACTGTAAAGGAACGATCATGTTTATACAGCAGATACAGCGCGTCTCAGTGCGTCTTGCAACTGCTCGCTCGATATCCTAGCCGCTAAAAGAAAAGCGGCCGCTCCGACGAGTTGCTAAATGAAGAAGAAGGTTCGTCGCGCACATAATTTCTGAAAATCTCGAAACCCGTAAAATAGTGGCTGTGACCTGTATGTATGTAAGACACACGCAGAACTCCATTCATGCAAGCCATTCACACCGTAAGCTAAGGCTACCTATAAGGCTTACTAGCACCGAATTATACATCACGATCCACTTGTTATTACCTTTCCTTCACGAATCAGTCTGCCACCCGTCATGTTCACCGCCTCGATTGCCGGCGCGCGATCCAATACTTTGCTCAGCAGATTCTGCACTCATAAAGATTCATCATTTCACAATCTCATTGATAATACACGAGAGAGAATGAACAAATAAATCGTCGGAGTCTATCGTCGGAATCTAACATTACCTTCGTATTCTCCAGCTCGAGCTTTCCATACGACTCATCGACAAAGTCCACCTCGTTCTGATACGAGTTTTGATATTGTTGTGCCAATCCATAAGCAGTTTCGGCACTTCGTAGTCTATCTACCAACTGTCCGCAGACGTTTGTCCATCGTGCGTTCAATTTGTTAACCTCAGCGTCCAATCTGTCCATGTCACCATGTGGACCACGGTGATTCGGTCTCGATTTTTCTACGAGACGCCTGGCATTATGCGCATCTTCGTTCAGTTGATCCACCGACACCTGCTGATGTGCGATAGCGTTTTGCAGAACCATAAGATCCTCCAATACGGATTGAAGACCCTTGATGTCCGAAGGTAGTTCGCCAAAAGAGGCTAATTTGATCTCAAAGTCGGAGATGGCTGTCGTATTTTCCTCGAGGCTGGACAGCACAATCTCGATGCATTTCAAACGTTCAATGTACAAGTTATGTAGGTTCCACAGGTGCTTCCATTTGGTTGTGATGTTATCGAGCTTGTTCCTCATCGCTGGAGTCTTCAAAGTAATTCCGCGGAACGTCTGCTGTATCTGTTCCACGTCTGGAGCTAGACATTGCAGGTTCTGCTCATAATCTTTATGCTGCAAGACAAGATATTCCAGACTGTCGAGATCTCGAGGTAAAGGCGCGGCTATGCGCGTGTTCAATACTCTCTCGGCCTCGTCGAGCGCCTGCTGAAGCGAAGACGCTTGTTCGTTGAAAATACGGCCTGCATTCTTTGATTCTTCTTCGGCCCTGGCGCGCTTCTCGAAATCGTCGAAAAGTCGGTTGACATCCGCCATTTCTCGTTTCAATCTTCTAAGTTGTGGATCTGCCGGGTCTCCCTCGGAAAGCAATTTATTCGCGTCCTCGTTCAGCGCATTTCTGATAACGGTACGTTGATCTTGTCCCATTGCTAAAAATTGTGGCAAGTCCCAACCCTTGACTACTTTGATAGTCGCAAATATCATGTTTTGTCGTAATCTCAATTCTTTTCGTTGCCAGAGAGCAATGCTTCTATCATATTGTCGTCTCAATCGTTCCGCGGCATCCAATGCGTCCTTATCAGGAGGCTGTAACGCAAAGCAGACACCCGGTACAGGAGATTCCACACCCTGCGAATTTTTCACGCGCCACTTTACCCTGCCAGAATTATCGTATAATGTGCATTGTTCTCCTTTCTCGATGGACATCTGGAAAAATTATACAAATTATATAAATAAAATTATATTCAAAGTCCACCGACTTTCGTGAATTAAAAAATACTGTAAATGATACTTACATTGACTTGTTTGTAATTACAGATACAAGTGACCTGTAACGGTCGCACAACAGGTTGCTTGCGTTGCTTCATGGGAACGATGTCCTTTGCTCTCTCCACAAGTCTTTGCACGTGAACGTGACAATTATTGAGTTCCTCGCGCAACTCTTGCATGCCTTTCAAGAGTCGTTCTCCCTCATCTAACGAGAAATCAGATTGCGAGTAAATGGTATTCAACGTTTCGTCATGTTTGGAAATCAATTGCTCGGTCTGTTGAATGTCTTTGAAGAATTGCTGGTTTTGTGCGGCGTGTCTCAAATGCACTTCGAGACACAGTGTGAGTTGCAGCAGCCAGGCCCATTGAGTTTGCATCGCGGACATGTAGGCTTCGATGGTTTTCGCCGCGGGATGATGCTGAAGAATCAGTGCCTCACCGCGATCTTGCACTGCCGAAAATTGTATCTCGCGTCTCTCCAAATCGCTCATTAGTGACTGCAAGCAAATAAAAATATATATTTCCAATTCATTTATATATAATGTTGAAAAATATAATTTATATTCAGAATAAATTAGCCGAATAAATTGGTAATTAAAAATTGATGGAAAATAATATCTAACATAATTAAAGAGTATAGATTAAAAAGCCAGATTAAAAAGTATAAGTGCATAATTTTTCAATATGCTTTACCTCTATGCCTGATCCATACGTTTGCTTTAGAAAGAAGAAAGTCTCCAATTTATTAATTCAATTTAACAAAACAAGAGATACTGTTAAATATGTGAAGATGACATAAATGCAACGACATTATATTATATTTCTTATATTTAAAGCATACAAAAATATTGCAAAATTGCATTTTTCAATTCATTTCTTTCATCATTTTTAAAAATAAAATTATTCTACAACCAACCTCATAATATTGCTCAATACTCTGTACATTAAGATTCTTGTCGCTCCAATCGCGCGTGACTTCGGTTTCTTCCTTAGCGTTCAACCAAACCAGCTCGCCAGTCGCCGATTGTATGAAATCATGTAGGGTGTCCAAATCAGAGAGTCTTTTAGTCGATACGGCAAGAAGTTCGTCATAAAGCTTCTGCAGAGTGCCAAGATGCTGGCTGTACAACGTGAGCTCTTCACCGTGAAAGTTATTCTTCGCCTGTTTGCACTTATCGACCTTTGTCTGGAACTGATCGATATTCTTGTGCTCCCTCTGATGTACGTCTAATTCATTTTGCACGCTAGGCAGATCCGACCCGTAGTCCGCTTCTTGCAGATGCTTCAGTTTGCCCTTACACCAATCTATACAATCATGCAACGCGCGGAAATGAGGATTGGTGTCGACCAATCGCGTCTCGTGGACCGTTGTGCGATGTTTTGTAACAACGCGTTCCTCAACAGGGAAGGAAACCACGGAGAGCGGTTGTACTAGACGCCTGTGCAAGAGTGATCGCAATACAACCCATCTTTGATGTAGCTTCTGGACTCTAAAAACCAGATGAACACATATTTATTATTAATAGCAAATATAAATTCATATTATTTTATCTATCATATTAATTATGATTATTTTAGCATATATTATATATTAGCTAAACATAAATCTAAAATATTAAAGAAATTTTATCAAATTTTCAAGAAAATATTTAAATAATATAAAAATTGTGGAAAGTGCACACAATATGGCTTGATTTTTGCGCTAATAAGTTTACTTAGAGATGTAGAACAATTTATTTTTTTTTTAATGAGAACAAATGTTGAAAAAGATATTTTTCTAAAAAAATTCATTAAAATTACATTCATAAAAAAATTAATTAAAAATATAAGACTAGTTTTTTCATTGTGATTAAATTAACATTTTTAAAAATTACAAACTGTGTTCCTATATCTCTTGTAAATATAATTTTTATATTTGTTTTTAAGGAATTTACCTAATTCAAAATATAAATAGTTATATAGTTATAAATATAGCCAATTGGAATGCGATTTACATTTAAAATAATGATTAGTTCAAATATATCATCTAAAAAATCAAAAATATTGAAAAATCTTGTAATAATAAAAATATAAGAATGTTAAATATCTAGAAAAAACTAAATTTTAAAGAAAAAATTGTATTTTATAAACAAAACATTTTCTTTCCTATTTACATCTCTAAGTTAATTCATTAGCGAAAGTAATGAGAGTGGAAATGACATAATTAGTTGAGTATAGTTGGGATGTGCATGTTATACATGGATGATGAATTTTAATTAGGTATTAATATTTCAGAGTGATCTTGATAATACGTGTGAAATAAATATATACATTAATGTTTTACCTTTTGTGAAGCTCGGGCGCCTGACTGTATCTACCCTCCGTAAGGGTGTGCACATCGGTGAATATATTCTGTATCTGGGTTTCCGTGCTCCGTATGTCTTGTTCCAGTAAGTCAACCGCGTGTTTCGCTTCCAAAGGATGAAGGCGATCGAGCTTGCGAGCCTCGTCCTCTACACGTCGCTCGAGCTCTTCCAGCCTATTGTCGGTCGTTTTCATCTCGCGATGCACCTTCTCAGCGAGTCGTTGCAGACGCTCAAGGCTGCCAATTAACACACATAATCAAGCACGCATCATACATTTATATATAATTAATATTACAATTTTACGTACCGTTTAATTTCGTCAATAATAGACTGTTCGCGTTCCTGATGTAGCATCATCAGGCGATTCCAATTCTTGTCTATGACATCAATATGCAGTTCCGGTTCCATGTCCACTTCACCCACCGCCTCGAAGTACTTTTGCAGGTCTCTGAAGATATATGTCAATCTCTGTTTGTCCCTGTATCGCGGCGGTACCTCCTCGTTCTTGAACTTGGTACTGTCCGCTGCCAGTTTCTTCATCTCGATCAGAGTAGGCGGGAAAGATCGCTCTTGCATAAGAGCCATTTTCTCGCGGATCCACATGTGTAGCGAGCTGGCGAGCTCGCGATACTCCGCGGATCGTCTTTGCGCCTCGGCGTCGTACAGGGGGTGAATGGCCGGCGGCTCCGGGAACACGTCGTAGAGCGAAGAGATGTACGTTATCAAGGACTTCTCATCCGGCTCGGGGGTATCAACATCTGTGTACAAGTGTTCGCATAATTAGAAGACAAACTTGATGAATTGTGATGAATTCTGATCAACATTTTCGGAAATTATTGTTAAATTCGAGACTCGTCCTTTCAGTTTTACAAGGATAAAACCGACACATTTAAAAGACCATTAAAGAGCAATAGATGTTATCTATCTACAGAATAAATGTCGTAGCCATAATGTTACGGAATAAATGTCGTAAGCCATATTTATAGATATACTATCTATCTGTGGATTCCGTTTCGCTTTTCCTTGCAACCTGACCAATGTCAGATACATATATGTAGAGAGTCAAGTATATAGAAAGCATAATTACGACGACTGCCGATGGCGCGACGTTACGGTATACGAGCCGAGACCGGAAGTGATTCTGGTCAGGTACCGTGACCAGAAAGAACGTGCACCACCACCACGTTCCGCGCGGAAACTATATCTCACGCATGCATACGTAGAGAAGATACGACAGGTGGGGCTGCATCGTGAAAGGTCTCTTCTTTGCGAGATGAAGCCGCAAATAGCCCAACGCGAAACGCGATCAAAAGGTCAGAGGACATTCCAACGAGCTTCTTTTTTCGCTTCAAGTTTACAGCCGAGTGACGTGCGACGATTTCGCGAAGATAACCGATAAGACAGCCTAGTCGGTCGTTACCTTCTGGATCGAGAAGCCTCGTAACGCCGTACTCGCGCTCGGCGACGTAGAAGACCCGATCGAGCCGCTCGCGCGGCTGGCTCGAGCGCGCGGTTCTCCAATCGACGAGATCCGGCCGATTCCGATGGAGAAGAGCACTGAAGGCCAAACCGTCGCGCCAGGAACCGGTGAAGTCGGTCACCCGGACGCCGGGGTATCGGGCGGTCGATCGTCGGGCCCATCTCAGAAGAGCCTCGCGCGCTGTCACGTTCGGTTCCTGACCGTGCACTATGTCGGATATCTGTAAACAGAAGAAAAGGACGTCGAAGATAAAATCTTAGTTCCTTGACATAATAAAACAATTAGTATAATATAGTAATTTTTGTATAATAATGTTTTTTTTTATTTTAATATCCTTATAATTCCTCAAGAAATAGATATTTTGCATCGATATGTTGATTCGTCTTCCGATATATCATTTTGTATTTTGCGATAAATAGAAAAATGTGATTAAAGTAAAAGTTTTTTTCAATCTCTCTTTCTCTCTCTAATATGATATTTTTAATAATGTAATATAATATTTTTAAAATTCTAATAAAATATTTTCTCTCTCTAATATAATATTTTTGAAAATTTAAATATTTAATTTCTTAAAAAATAGTAATCTTTAATATAATAATTTCTCAAAAATAATTATTTTGTATCGATATGTTGATTCATCCTTTGATATATCATTTTATTTTTGAGATAAATAGAAAATAATAAATTGAATAAAATATATGCTCTAAATATTTCGGAAATAAAATAAAGGTTCTTTTAAAAAATAGTAATCTCTAGAAATCTTTGATAAATATTCAATGGCCATTTAATATTGCATTAGAGAACGCGCTAGTGGTTTTGATTAAAAATTATCAAGCATGAAATCGTTATAAATGCTGTATGTATTCGTAATCTTCCATAATTACAATTTCGAGTTTGGTATTAATAGAAACTGAACGCTGCAACCTTTCAAGAACTATTGACATTTTGCTAGCGACTGGCGCCGAGGAAATTGGTCACGACTTTAATCGTACGATTTTAATTAAATGTAATTAAATTTTAATTTTATATTTATTTTAAATTTATTAAAATGTAAAAATTCATACATATATATGTATGTGTATGAAAATAATTTCAAAAAATGACTCTCGCGTGAATGCGTGAATTATTATGTGTATTAGAATAGTTCAGTTTCTCACGTCTTTCTTTATTTAACGTCAAGCGTTATCTTATCACATGCGTTACATTCTACCTATATACATCTCCTTCCTGTATTTTCTCGAGTTACATACTCATCGATTATCAGAAATTACGTATTATTATTATCTAAGGCGTATCTCTCGCTTGCGTTCATTGAACCAACGCTATTGTCTTGCTCACATTTTAGTGCACGTGAAAATAGAAAACGATAAAAACATTCATGGTATTCTCTCTTCGATGGAAGAATCAAATCTTTAAAACATGCGTTGTTTTAATAATAGCGCAACAAAATTTCTGTTCTCGGGATGTAAAACAGAGAAAAACAGGACAAGCTTTCTTCTATATCTTGCCATGTGTTTTTCATGTTTTATTCATGTTTCTTCAGCTCAGTCATAATATAATAAACAACCGGGCTTCTTGACAAGCACTTGAAAAATAAATAAATCATTCAACTAGAATTTAAAACATGTAAAAAATATTTAAAAATCTGATATAAATGTAAAAGAGCAAGAGAAAGAAAAAGAAAGAGAGAGATATGAATGAATGAATGACAAGGAATTTTTTCTCCTATTAAAGTTCTTGGAGATGATGAATAAATTTATAAATTAATCTGTATCAGATTCTTCTCATAAAATTCTCGGAAGATTTTTATTATGAACTTATTAAACGAAAGAGAAATGAAAGAGCACTTGACCGCCTGGCTGATTACCAAACTCGCTCAAGTAGTGAAATAATAGAGACAAATATCGTTGGCAATAGACTTGACATTGGTGGTAGCGACTGACTGAAATTAAGATCGCGTCCATTTGAGACTGTCGCTGCTATTGGCATTGATAAAGGTCGATGTTAGTATTCGGGTCATCGCAGTTTCTCGCGTTTGCGCGTGTGAGATATGCGTTATTCGAATGACCACAGCCGGCCTGTGCCATCTGTTTCCCCAACCTACGCAATTCGCAGCAACAGGTTGCAGAGGGATGCTGATGCAAACTCTTCGATCGTCGAGGTAATTTCATTTACGGGGTCTACTCGAATCTTGTGAAAAAATTCTCTGATTTTTCAGGTATTTTTGTTCAAAATCCCAGGTAAAGAGAATATTTTCAATATTTCTTTGGTGCAGCTACTTCTAAATAAATTTTTTTATCACGTTTTCCATTCCTTTCCCTTATCGAAAAAAATAGAATCTTTTAAGTGCTAAATTTGTGCTAAATTAAGCACTAAATTAAGTGCTAAATTAACGTACTAAAAAAAATTGAATAACTTTCGTAAGATAAATATTTTTCATCTGCATAACATTTTCATTTTTTTATCACTAAAAAAAATTACGAAGAATATGTATTGCATATTTGATATATTGAATATATTAATAATTTATAATAACAATTATTTATAATTTTAAACATTACAATTCATTGGCTTGTCGATTGCTTACAATATGAGAGGAAAATTATCAAAGAGAAATTTCTTTCAGAAATTTCCCGAGTCTCAATAAAATTCCATGACAATTCCCTGATTTCTCCAGGTGCACAAGAAATCCCTGAGAATTCCAAGGGATAGACACCCTGATTTATAGTATGTCGATTGCCATAAGAACACACTTTCAACGAATGTATCGGCTATCATGTCTTCTAAACTTGATCCTCGCGAATTTCGTTGAGTAAAAGCAGTTATCGACAAATAAGCAGAAACCGCATTTTCGCCGACTTTCATTGTTCATGCACCGCTTAACATCGCATTCGTCCAGATTGATTGAAGCAAGGAAAATAATGTATCTCTCGCCGAGTGTTAATTTCGCAGAAGCGAAATAACGGATTAAGAGCAGAACGGTAATAAAGCTAACGCGGTAAGCGCTCCAATCCTAATTAAGGCGACGTGTCCGTTACGAGAGAGAGTGTTTCTTTTGGGAGAGCGTTTAAGTCGGGCATTTTTACAAGACGAGTTCCTTTTCCCAGCTCTCTGCAACGTTCATGGAAAAATTATCACGCTTGCCTTACTTTCAGCTACGCTCACCAGATACAAGTACCAGATACTTGCTCAGAGAATATCTCTAATTACATCGAAATCGTCAATTGTTGATACCTTCTCGATCGAATACTATGTTCGATTTAAATGTATACACTCAGTTATTTTCTTTAAATAATAAAATTATAAAATGTATTTAAATAGAAGTTATTTTGTTTAAGATTTATATATTTATTATTTGATCATTTATTATTTTATCATTTATATTTTATTTTTTTAAGATTATAATATATGTGGATCTTAAACAAAAATTTTAAATTAATTTTAAATTATTTTTTTTATGTTTTCCACGACAGTTTTATTTTTTTAAGGGAATAATATACCTATTTATTGTAGCTTTATAAAATACTTTATAGCATATTCGATAATATGCAAAAGTAAAATTTTTAACAATCATGAAATATTGCACTTAAGTTATCTTGGCAATATTTTAAATAAAAATTAATAAATCCTTTTTTTATTGAAGATACTTTTTTCAACGTTCATATTTAAAAACCTGCAGTGAAATAGTTATTATTCCCTTGAAAAAATATAACTGTCATGAACAATTAAAAAAAATTTTCATGTAAATGGCATGTTAAGAATAGATTGATCTTCTTAAGGATGTTTTGTATGTACAGCAAAAAGGAACTGAAAATCAATATTGAATATATTCACTTTTGATATATTTTGAGTATGAAATTGTGTGGAATATTAGGAGATGTATTTTTTAATATTTATTGCATTTTTACTAAAATATTCCGAATTTTATTAATCGAAATGATTAACTTTTGACAGAGAATTTCGCCTTGCGACAGATACACACATGGCTAGCTTCATTGAATTATATTTAATATCTTTTTAACCAGTTAGTACTTGTATAATATTATTTGATCAAATATTTCCTCTGTATCTAAACTTTTGCAAATTTTCAACAAATTCTGAATATTATTTCCATGTGTTTCTGTCATTTTCCATAAGAACACATATTAATTCGGTGCAAATTAAAATCCTTATAACTTGTGAATCGATTTAAAAATTGTACTGAAAATTCTAAACATATGTAAAGACATTCTATATAATTTTCATTAAATTCTCAATATTTTGAAAATAGGTACAAAACATCCTTAAGCGAAATAACTTTTGTTCAAAATATTTTTTATACTAACTTCATTATTAAAAAAAAAAATAACTGAAGGTATACACTTAAATAAAACACGCTGCATCTAGTAAATATTAATAGAAGAACCTCTCGACAATTTTCCGCGATAATAATCGCTTACCCGGACAGTTTTCGGTTTCGTTGAAGCATGTCGAATTATGGCCGTCGTCGACAGACTGGCGGCTTCCTGGAGGTACCTCGGGTGAGCGCGTTTCGTCAGGTCCTCGGCGACGCTGCGCTCCTCGCCGCGCGTAAGAGTCGTCGTTTTACGAACGATGCGAGTGACGATGCGTTTTGTGCCATTCTCACCTCGTCTCGACGTCTTCGTCGATTCGATCGACGAACCTGCGAGCGAGCGAGAACGATCGTTCGAGAGACGAACCGTTGAGCCGAGCAACAGTTTCGCGCTCGATCGAGCTTGGAAGAGGATTCGTTTGACGATGCGCTGACTTTAAATGATCGCTGTCGAACATCGAGGCACAAATGTGCCTACAACTGCTTATTTTCCAATTTCCCTGACTTGTGTTCGCAGTATCATCAATATCTATTGGTAAGATTGCACGAGATACCAAGACAATGATTTTTAATTGATTGACGAGACAATATCAAGACTAGGATTACTGGTCTTGTCTCAAGATTACTGATTTTTTAAAAAAAGTTAATATTTATATTTGTAAATTAGAAATGAGGACAATCATTATATTTACGAATTTTAAAAAACTTATTAAATAGAATCATTTATATTAATAACAATTTATATAAAGACATTTATATAAATTGTTTGTAAAAAACAATTTTATTATTTAAATATAAAAATATTTATTACTTATTTAATTAAATGTATTTAATTAAAATAAATAATAAATCTCTCTCCATAAATTTATTTAATTTAACAAATTTAA